AAACATAGATAAAAATTCACTACATAATAACATCAATAAAAACATCATAACACAATAAATCCTCCGCATTTCATTACCAAATCATTATCCAGTTGCGTTGTCCAGCCATTCCGAGATCAGAGTTTATTTGCTATACTGCATTTGGGAAAGCCTGCTCAAATAGCCAGGTTTTGACTTTTTTACAAAAAGTTAAGAGGGTGGAGGCTGCTCTAATGTCCCTGGGGAGGGGCATTCCACAGTCGAGGGGCCACCGCTGAGAAGGCCCTGTCTCTTGTCCTTGCCAGCCGAACCTGTGAAGTTGGCAGTACCGAGAGCAGGGCCTCACCAGAAGATCTTAAATTCCTAGAAGGTTCGTAAGAAGAGATATGTTCGGACAGGTAAGCAGGGCCAGAACCGTTTAGGGCTTTATAGGCCAAAGCCAGCACTTTGAATTGTGCTCGGTAGCAGACTGGCAGCCAGTGGAGCTGGTGCAACAGAGGAGTTGTGTACTCCCTGAGCGTCGCTCCTGTTAGCAACCTGGCTGCTACCCGTTTGACCATTTGAAGCTTCTGATCAGTCTTCAAAGGCAACCCCACATAGAGAGCATTGCAGTAGTCTATATGGGATGTAACCAGAGCATGTACTACCGTGGCCAAGTCAGACTTCACAAGGTACAGGCACAGCTGGTGCAGAGATTTTAATTGTGTGAATGCTCTCCCAGTCACCGCCGAAACCTGGGGTTCCAGGCTCAGTGATGAGCCCAGGATCACACCCAAGCTGCAAACCTGTGCCTTCAGGGGGAGTGTAACCCCATCCTATGCCCTGTTCAGCCTTACTACTGACCAAGAGTACCAATCTATAGATTTATGTCCGTGTTGCAACAATTTTGGAGATGAGAAACAGAGTTTTTTCAATCCTTCTTCTCACGGTGTTGCAAATTGTACCTGTGGAAATATCCTTTTATCTTATGTGTTAAAATACCAGGACTCTTTGATTGGAAAGTCTGCTGTGCCTGCAAGGTAGTTTCCTGTCCACTTAAGTCCCACTGTTGCTGAGTGGAGCTGGGCTAGGGAAGCTGTGGCTCTCCATGTGTTGCTGAATTACAACTCCCATTGCACTTTACTATTGGCCAAGCTGGTTGGGACTATGGGCATCTGAAATCCAGCTTCTTATGGAGAGTAAGAGCTTGCCCAATTCTTCATGAAAGTTTTTGAAATACTGTGACAAAAGTAAATAAGAAGTCGATCTGGGATTAGACGAGAGCAGACGAGGGTTAGATTACACAAAGTGGAAAAGGAGTATACACAAATTGGTCTAATAGAAAGAATGGGGTTGCTTTTTGCTGCTAGGATTCATGCTCCCCACCCTAGACATAGTGTACATACTCAGGATTACACGGATTACTTATTCTTATTTTAACAACTCTTCTCTATGCAAATCAGAGAAGTTACAAAAGCATTTCATATCAAGGAGTGGCTTTTCCTCCTGACCTTTCAGTATGTATTTATGGACAAAGCAGGGATTTTCAATTTACATCAGCATTCAGTTGAGGACAACAATTTTATAAGTAGGAGAATTTCACATTAGGAATGAAACAGATTAGAGAAGACCTGCATGTGATTCTAGGGCCATCTGCTGGTTGAAGTTCCTCCTATTGCTCTTGTAGTTTTGTCCCTACCTTGGCTCATTTTGGTGAATGTGTTAAAAGTCAAGGGGTGTGACCATCCAAAAATCAATGTGCAGCTATTCTGCCTTCCCTTCCTGAACAGATGCCTATGATAAGATCCAGAAGGGAAGATGCTTTGGGGTCCAACATTTAAAGATGATGTGGTCTGGAACCCTTGTACAATTTTGTGAGCAATGTAGGGCAAAGGCATGATAAAATGATTTGTCATTAAGTGATCCCAATGTTTCTGTCTCAGACCATCATGAGTGTTTTTTTCAACCAAGAAACTTCCAAAACAGCTAAGAACAAAAGAGACCACAGCAAGAAAAGCCTTAAACCCACCAGAGTTCGGTGTACAGTGTTCCCTCACTTATCGTGGGTGTTATGCTCCAGGGCCACCCGCGAAAAGTGAAAATCCACAAAGTAGGGATGCTTTATATGTATATTGAGTTCCGAGGGTGAGGCAGAAGCGAGGAGAGATTTAAGAGCACCACCCAACTTTTTTTTTGCTGGCTATCTCTGCTTTGTACTGGTCCATTTAGTTTCCCTGGTAAGAATACTGGGGTGGTTTGCCATTGCCTTCCCCAGGGATCGCACTTGGTCTGACCTCTCTTCCATGACCGTCCCGTCTTGGGTGGCCCCGCACGGTTTCGCTCATGACATCATTGAGGTGCTCAAGCTCCAGCGCCACGATAAGGCGGCGATCCTTTGCTGGGGAAAATGGAAGGAAAAAGGAAGAGGGGCCAACCAAGGGCTAGAAGAATGGATGGGATCCTTGAAGTGACTGGATTGACCTTGAAGGAACTGGTGGTGGTGATGGCTGACAGGGAGCGCTGGTATGGGCTGGTCCATGAGGTCACGAAGAGTCGAAACGACTGAATGAATGAACAACAACAACAATCTCTGCTTTGCTTTGCAATCTCTCTTGATTGGCTGCCTACCTCCTGAGGGGGAGGGTGAAACCCCCTTCCATGTTCCATCATTGCCAGGAGGCAGGATTAAAATGCAATGGTAACCATTCATAAACTGGGAGGCAAAAATCCGCAAAACAGCGAGTCCGCAAAAAGCGAACCGTGAAGTAGCGAGGAAACACTGTATATTTCCATATATAGGCAGTCCCCAACTTGTGGACAAGATTGATTCTATAAGTTTGTTCTTAAGTTGAATTTATATGTAAGTCTGAACAGTTATATTTTTAAAGTGTAACTCTTGCCAGATAGATAGATAGATAGATAGATAGATAGATAGATAGATAGATAGATAGATAGATAGCTTTGGATAGCATAGGGAAGGGTTAACACCCCTGTGGGATTTGTTTTGTTGTCTTCTGTGCCCCTGTTCAGAAGATAATGGGATAATTGCATTTTGAAAAATTTGGCTTGTTGTGGAAACAAGGATTGGTGAGAAAGCTTCAGTGGAAACACCTTTTCCCCTTGATAATAGCTCTTTCAGGAATGAATTGCCCTTCCGATGGGTAGATTTTGCTCGTTCCCCCTGTTCTTAACTATGGGAACGTCAAACATCAAATGTCTGTAAGTCAAATGTTTTTAACTCTGCCTGTACAAATTTGGAGTAACTATAATTCAAGTCTTAAATCTTCTATGGCAGTTTGAGTGTGAAGCAGGAGAAGATGTGATTTTCAATTGAAAATCTAATAGGAGATGCCCTAACCTTTCCAGGATTCAGCTCTGAAGCTGTGGGATGTCAGATAGATGATTGAAGATGTTTTACATAGGATGACACAACTATTAAAGGCCTAAACCACACTGTACACACCCATATACATATCTGGGTCCATGATGCCATCTTGGAACTAAATTTATGAAACTCACTGTGATGACTGTAGTTGGGCAGCCCATATCCATGAATTCTGAACACACAGATTCAACTATCCACAACTTGAAAATGCTTTTTAAAATCCGAAAAGGCATACCTTGATTTAGACATTTTGTGTAAGGATACCATTACTACGCCACTGTGTAACCATGGGTTTTAATATCCTTGGGGAGTCCTGGAATGAAACCACAGCAATACAAATGGTCACTATATATGTATGTTGTTGTTCATTCGTTCAGTTGTTTCCGGCTCTTTGTGACTTCATGGACCAGCCCATGCCAGAGCTCCTTGTCAGTCGTCACCTCCCCCAGCTCCTTTAGGTCAATCCAGTCACTTCAAGGATGCCATCCATCCATCTTGCCCTTGACCGGCCCCTCTTCCTTTTTCCTTCCATTTTCCCCAGCATCATTGTCTTCTCTAAGCTTTCCTTTCTTCTCATGATGTGGCCAAAGTACTTCTTCATCTTTGCTTCTACCATTCTTCCCTCCAATGAGCAGTCAGACTTTTTTTCTTGGATCTTCTTACTGTCCAAATTATATATGTATAATTTCCACTAATAGATATAGTACGCTTTTTAATACCAGCTGTTAATGACCATGGGCATAAAGATGCTGTTGTATTTGTGTCCTGCTTCTGGGTTTCCCAGAAGCAACTTATTGGCTATTGTATTAATATTTAATTGTTTAATGTTTCTTTTTTATTTAAGTGATATGTGTATTTACTGTTCTAATGTAGCGCAAATCCTATGTCAAACCGTACCATGTATTTTTGACATTAATATTGAAATCTGAAATATATATTGAAAGTCTTTACTTGCTAAATGATCTGATCCAAATGGTGGAATCTTCTGTTTTGATCTTGAGCCACGTAGAAGTGAAAGGCAATGAGGAGTTCTAGTCTGTGCTTTGCCTCTCATGTGCCTGGAGGAGTCAACCATAACGTGACCTCTTAACTATAGTTAGCATAAGTCATGGTTTCATGTTATGTGTAAACTCCCCTAACAAATCTTTGGTGGCCCATGAAAGTGCAGTGGGTTAAACCTTTGTGCCAGCAGAAAGGTTGGCAGTTCAAATTCAGGGAGCAGGGTGAGTTCCCGTCTGTCAGCTCCAGTTTCTCTTACAGGAACATGAGAGAAGCCTCCCACAGGATGGTAAAACATCTGGGCGTTCCCTGGGCAACATCCTTGCAGATGGCCAATTCTCTCACACCAGAAGCGACTTTCAGTTTCTCAAGATGCTCCTGACACACACACACACACACACACAAAGTTATAAGTTATGGAAAATCTGACAATCATGCTAGTTAACTGGGAAACACCCTTAAAGATCATATTAGTGTCCTTCCCATGTTTGCACATATATATTTGTCCTTCCACTCCTTTTACTAATTATAGGTCTCTTCAGTACTTTGCATTACAAACAAACACTGACCCTTGTGTATTTTCTTGCAGATGTAGCAATTGCAGCACCATTTGGCGGCAAAGCCCAGCAAGGTGTAGTCTATGTGTACAACGGCCGGCATGATGGACTGGATCCCAAGCCTTCTCAGATGTTGCAGGGCCATTGGCCTCCTGGCCAAACTCCTGACTTCTTTGGGTTTGCCCTGCGTGGGGCCAAAGACCTAGATAAAAATGGCTACCCAGGTGAGGATGACATATAAAGAAGCAATGATAGTGCTTTGGGATATGTCTTAACACAGAATGAGCACAGCTTACTTAGTACATATTTTCTATGCAAAAGTTCCAGGCTCAGTTCCTGTCGCCTTTCATCAAAGCAGGATACAATGAAGGAAGACACAGTGAACTCTTAAAATATAAAGGAACCTTGAAGTGGTTTGCCATTTATTCTAATGGATAAATAAATTTGTACAATAAATTCAAGTGAAGTCCAAATTTTATATAAAATTTGCAACAAACAAAAAAAAGACCAAAGAAAGTGACATTTAGCTGTATTTTAATGTTTTATTTAAAAAAAACAATTGGAAGTGATATCAAAGCTCTGCAGTAAGACTTCCAGAATTTAACAGTGTCTCCCATTTTTTCCCTCTGTCCTGCAGATCTGATTGTGGGAGCCTTTGGAGTAGACACAGCCATGGTTTACAGGTAGGCGCTATGAGTATGGCTGACATAAAGAGACACATGTAGGCACATAAAGAGATACGTATTAACTCCCTTCAGCTGCTTTAGGAAAGGACAATCAGATTTAGAATAACATGAAATGAAATCACAGGGTTACTTCTTTCTTTCTCTGTGTTTCTGTGTTTTGTGCTGTCAGTATTTTAACAATCGGATGCACCACATTCACTTGACTTTAAACATAGCTCACTTTCTTCTACATTATCTTGGAACTACAGATATGCCAAAACATTTTGTGGCCCATGGCTTGACCTATTTACAGGAGCAACAATTTCATGGCCCAAATCACTGAAAAAGCCTAATCACAAGCATGTAAATAACTTCCATGTGAATCTACGTATGCCCTCTGGACAATGGGTGGGAATGCAGTAAAGATCAGAGGGCTGTTTTTGACATTTTCAAAACATCAATGATTTAGATCATGCCACTGACCCATACTTTCAACTGCCCAGCCAGTGCAAAGGAACTGAAAGAGATCTAAAGACTGGGAGTTTCAATAATAATAATAATAATAATAATAATAATAATAATAATAATAATAATGACTTTTACAAGTCAAACAAGCAGTTGAAGAATAAAAAAACACCCTGGCAGAATATGTCAAGGAAAGCCAAGAACCCGCTTTAATTGAAGTCAATAATCGGAAACTTCTCAAAGCACAGCAGACAAAGAGTCATACATGAAAACTTCACTCTATACCAGAGCTGTCCGCTGGCACAACAAAGCCTTACATGGGCAGTTCCTTGAGAAGATTGAAGGAAAAGTTGATAAGGAGAAGACCTAGTTATGGCTCACGAATGGAACACTGAAGAAGGAGACGGAAGGCCTGATTCTTGCAACCCAGGAGCAAGCCATCAGAACCAATGCCATTAAGGCCAGGATTGAAAAATCAACGGATGACCCAAAATGCAGACTGTGCAAGGAAGCTGATGAAACCATGGACCATCTCCTCAGCTGTTGCAAGAAAATCGCACAGATGGACTACAAACAAAGACACAACTCTGTGGCCCAAATGATTCACTGGAACTTATGTCACAAGTACCACCTGCCAGCAGTAAAGAATTGGTGGGATCATAAACCCACAAAGGTCATGGAAAATGAACATGCAAAAATACTGTGGGACTCTTGAATCCAGGCTGACAAAGTTTTTGAACACAATACACAAGACATCACGATTGTGGAAAAGAAAAAAGTCTGGATTATTGATGTCGCCATACCAGGTGACAGCCGCATTGAGGAAAAACACACCGAAAAACTCAGCTGCTATCAAGACCTCAAAATCGAACTGCAAAGGCTCTGGCATAAACCAATATAGGTGGTCCCAGTGGTCATTGGCGTACTGGGTGCCGTGCCAAAAGATCTCAGCTGGCATTAGGAAACAATCAACATCGACAAAATCACGATCTGTCAAGTGCAAAAGGCACTTGGATCTGCGCGCATCATTCGAAAATACATCACACAGTCCTAGACGCTTGGGAAGTATTCGACTTGTGATTTTGTGATACGAAATGCAGCATATAGATCTTGTTTACTGTGACATACTGTGCTTTTATGTCAATAATAATAATAATAATAATAATACTTTATTTATACCCCACCACCATCTCCCCAAGGGGACTCGGGGTGGCTTACATGAGGCCAAGCCCAACAACATATCAGTAAAACAACAAAGCAGTAAGCAAATAAAACAATACAATTAATATAACTCACATATAAACAGTAACACAAAAATTTAAAAACCTTAAATTGTGCCTTCCGTTTTTGTCTTGGCTATTGTAGTGATTTTGTTAATCTGAGCTCTTATGTTTCCAATGCTGAATGCTTTCTTCTAAGGCAATGGTTCTGAACCTGTGGGTCCTCAGGTGTTTTGACCTTCAACTCCCAGAAATCCTAACAGCTGGTAAACTGGCTGGGATTTCTGAGAATTGTAGGCCAAAACACCTGGGGACCCACAGGTTCAGAACCACTGTTGTAAGGTATTTGCTGTCACACTAGATCAATTTTCATTTCTCTTTCTCTCCCACTCACAGGGGCCGCCCCATTGTTCACGCCAGTGCCACTCTCAGCATCTTCCCTAATATGTTTAATCCAGAAGAGCGAACTTGCATCCTTGAGGGCTCAGGAACACCTGTTGCTTGGTAAGTGATATTTGTATGAGTTGGAGAATCTATGGCAGAAAGTACAATTGCAACTCCCACCCCCACCACCACCAGACACACACTTCTTTTAAGGTCTTTTCCCACAGTAACTTGGGGACTGCAGATTTGTTTGAAGACATCATTTTCCCCTAAGCTATTATATTTTTAAGAGTCTCCTTCAGAAGGGGATGCCTGGGGATGTATGTGTCCTATTCAGGTGCTACTTACCTGGTTTTAATCAACACTAGGAGTTGGGACCGCTTATCTTCACATTTCTAATGGTCTCCTCAGTAATTGTTTTGTAGTCGTCTTTGCTTCCTCAACAACCAATTGAATTAGACTTTTAACATTCTCATGCAATTATCAGTGAGTGGAATTACATTGGAGAGAGTGACAAAAATGTGGTGCTAACCCCAGGCATTGAACCATCTAAACCAGTGGTTCTCAACCTGTGGGTCCCCAAATGTTTTCGCCTTCAGTTCCCAGAAATCCTGCTGGTAAACTGGCTGGGATTTCTGGGAGTTGTAGGCCAAAACACCTGGGGACCCACAGGTTGAGAATCACTGCTCTAAACCTAACCAATCCTGTGTCCACTAAACCTACAAGTTTCTTACAGTGGCTTATTACTCCTTTCTTTCCCCCTTGTCACCAGCATCAACCTGAGTTTCTGTTTGAACGCATCTGGGAAACACGTGCCTGACACTATTGGTAAGTAAATGGAAAGTGAAGTGATAGGATGTCGAAAGGGGCATGTGGGCAGATGATATGTTTGCTGCCAGGAACACCTCCAGCTTTTGCTGATTCGGTTGACATCTCTTTGTACATCTATGCCACCTCTCAATCCTGGCTAGGCAGTATGCTGTCTCAAAATCCAGCAAAATTGGTTTATGGTCATTAGCATGCCAAGAGGCTAGATAATGGGCAAACAAGGTATCTTTCAGATGTTGTTGGATCACAACTCCCATCATCCCTAGATAGCTCAGCCTTCATTGTTCTAACACTAGAACACACATTTTCTGCCTCTGATTTAGAGCATGGCCAGCTGGAGGTTGACCCAATGTCAGATTTTCAGGTCTGTCTGAAAGGACTCTTTATTTAGGCCCCTACTACACTACCATATAATCCAGATTATCCAAGCAGATAATCCACATTATCTGCTTTGAACTGGATTGTATGAGTCTACAATGCCATATAATCCAGTTCAAAGCAGAAAATCTGAATTTTATTTATTTATTATTATTATTTATTTACGGCATTTATATGCCGCCTTTCTCAACCTGAAGGGGGCTCAGAGTGGCTTACAAGATGTATTTTCATACAATATATTACATTATTAGCATAGTACAATATCAGTATTGTATATTACTATATTGCACCATGCCATTATGTTGTAATATTATTAGTAATATTACATGTAATGTAAATATATAATTATAATTATAATATTGTATTATTATTACTAGTAATATATTGTATTATATTATAATATTATAAATATTATATGTATATACAATATACGATATTATATTATTAGTAAAGACAAGATTTATTAGAAGAGTCCTCAGAAGCAGCAAACGAAGTCATGGCTGGCCATAGTTCTCTCTTATCCAATATCATTGGTGCACCATAATATGACCAGCTAGCTTTGAGGACGCTACATGCCAGAAAAGGCCAATATAGTTCCATCTAGTCTTATAAATTTGTTGGCTGTCCCTAGTCTCTATCAGTCCCAGTTATGTGTTGCCCTGTCTGCCAACCTCTTGGGTCATCTACAGGTGGTTGAGTAATGGCAAGCAAGCAAGAAATGGGGGAAAGCTTACAGTGTGCTGAGTGAGCATTATGCATTATAGAATCATAGAGCTGGAAGAAACTATAACAGAGGTCCAAGGGATACTTGCATATTTCTTGCCCTCGCTTTATCAGTCTTAGGCATTTGAATGCATTAGACATTATACTGAGAACACAAGATGTTCTTGAGGTGTTGTCAGTGTGCAAAAAAGCAAGGCTCCAATACATGAAGTCACCTTCAGATTTCATGTGAAACATGGGAAAGCCCATAGCTGAGCATCAGAGTTCATGTTTTGCAAGCAGAAAGTCTCAAGTTCAATCCATGGGTGCAAGAGGTGGAATGTCACTCAGGTTGACCATTTACCTGGATCCTTGGAAAATGCTGGGGCATAGCAGTACTGAATATCGGTTAGAAGAATCCTTTCACTTATCTGGACAGGATTCACTGTGGACTTGCACCTTGACCGCCTCAAGCACAAAGGGGCAGTGAAGCGGGCGCTCTTCCTTCACACCCAGAAAGCCCACCTTGTCCAGAGTCTACAGCTCCGAAATGGTGCCAGCTCTGAGTGCCGTGAGATGAAGATCTACCTTAGGGTAAGTTACAAGCAATGATAACAAGCCCTTCTGCCACCATTTGGGAAATCTCTGGCAGAATGGAGAAAAATCCATGAGACAGCTCATATTATTATTTGTACTTTTATGTGAAGCCGTGCAATCATTTGACTTCTAATTTAGGGGTGAGGTCCGGAAGCCACATTCACTTCTTATTTTGCATGCTATGGATTCCTGCATGCTGCATCAGTTTGTGAGAAAATAAAAAAGGCTATTTTGAGTCAACATAATTTGCAAAGGGATACTCAAAATAGCTTTAAAATGGGAGAGTCATGTGCCTTGAAGCTGCTGAATGCGTAATTCTCTATTTGAGGCTAAGTTTGTGGCATGATGGAGGAACCTGCTCAGGCATCCTGAAAGGCTGCATTGTTCCCATCCTAAATCTTTATTCGAAGTTGAGGATCCCTTGTTTGTAATTTTGAAATTTGAAATACTCCCAAACCCAAAAATATGTACATGGTACTGAAATAGTAAGACCTTTATGTCCTGATGGTTCAGTATACACAAACTTTGTATCATACACAAAATTATTTCATTTTTTTTGTGTGTCAGAAGTGACGTGAGAAACTGCATGTCACTTCTAGCATGAGAGAATTGGCCATCTGCAAGGACGTTGCCCAAAGGATACCATCCTGTGAGAGGCTTCTCTCACGCCCCTGCATGGGAAGCTGGAGCTGGCAGGTGGGAGCTCACCTCACTCCTCAGATTTGCACTGCGGATCTTTTGGTCAGCAGTTCTACTGGCACAAGAGTTTAATCTATGGCTCCACAGGGGGCTCCCATTATTTAAAATATTGTGCATAGAATGAACTTCAAGCTATGTGTACAAGGTGTGTGTTGTAGTAGAGTCTCCTGGTACCATTACTACTGATAGCATGAGTGGTAGAAGAGGGAAAAGGTGTGCTCAGGAGTTAAGTGAGGAGTTAAGTATATTAAAAGATAAATAAATTCTGTGCCTAAAAATTCATTCTGATTCCCAAGATATAGCATTAAATATATATATGTGAGTGCAGGTATTGCAAAATCCTTAAAATATATGAAATCCAAAATATTTCTGGTTCCTAACATCTTAAATAAAGGATACTCAACCTCTGTTATATAGAGTCTGAACAGACATCACAATCCATAAGCAACACATTCTGAGGAAAATCTGTAAAAGATATTCCTGCTTGGAGTTTTGCCTGCTTCTGGATCTATCAATAAACATCCTATTCCTACTGAATTGTAAATTTGCATGTAGGTTTGAAATGTCTTTGGTTCACCTTTGGATACAAATTTTCTATATACACGGTAGAGGAGGGGGCATTTCCAAAAATTATGTGGTTAGAGCCACTTGAAAGCTTTAGTGCGAGGAGAGGATGATGTGGAATATCGTAACCCCATGAAACATGGTTGTCATTAAATGTATAAATGGTAATAACATAGTAGCTAGGATTTTTCTGGATATACAACTATCTTGAAATCACCACTGTTGTGCTGAGACTTAGTGACTCCAGATCACAATCATTGTTTAAAAAATCCGGATATGTGCTTCATGCACTGATCATTTTGTTCTCCTTCTCTCTGTGTGCCTCAATCCAGAATGAGTCTGAATTCCGTGACAAGCTTTCCCCCATCTACCTGTCTCTCAACTTCTCCTTGGACCCAGAAGCCCCGCCAGATGCACATGGTCTGAAGCCCATCCTCAACTACCTCACACACACCTACATTGAACAGAAGGTACAGATTGTAAGGATGGTGGATTGTCTGTTAAAGCTGGGTTTGGCAATCAAGTCAACAGAGAGCTCTGAGCATTCTTAAAGATATGCTGGGTCCCATGGATTCATTCATTACAACCTTCCTTCCTTCTTCCCTCTCAGGGTAGAATGAAGCACAGCTTCAGCCCAACTGTAGCATACAGCAAAAGTAAAGGCTTCCCCTTGACATTAAGTCTAGCCGTGTCTGACTCTGGGTGGGGGTGCTCATCTCCATTTCTAAGCCAAAGAGTCGGCATTGTCTGGTCATGCGGCCGGCATGACTGCATGGAGTGCCATTACCTATTGATCTACCCACATTTGCATGTTTTCAAACTGCTTGGTTGCCAGAAGCTTGGGCTAACACCGGGAGCTCACCCCTCTCCCTGGATTCAAACTGCCGACCTTTTGGTCAGCAAGTTCAGCAGCTCAGTGAGCACAAAATAAAAGTGTTCAATGTATTGTTGAAGGCTTTCATGGCCGGAATCACTGGGCTGTTGTAGGTTTTTCAGGCTGAATATGGCTTCTAGAATGCTTCTAGAACATTGCCATACAACCCGAAAAAACTACAACAACCCAAAAATGTTCAAGTTGTGCCTCTCTCCTGTCCTGAGCTCACTCCAGAACAGTGTTCTGTTCTAGCAAAGTCTTTTGACCTTCCTCCTGCTTTGGAGATACCACTATAAACCACTATATAATAGTACTTCTCAAACTATTTAGTGTGGCAAGCTGTCAGTCTTTTTCTCAATATGCCAGACGCCAGTGTCATATTTCTGCCGGTGTATCATATACTGGTTGTGCCTTGCCAGAGAATGTGTGTCTCAATTTGGTTGCTTGTGTTGTTTGGAGGTGTGATATTTATTAGCACAATGAAACAGCTCACTTGCTTTCTGCATCAAGCTTATTGTAGGCCCCCTTTAATTCATAGGAATGGTGGTATTTTAACTAATATAGAACAACAGAACAACTGGATGATGTGACTGGACAATGATTTTAACAAGGAGACATTGTTGATATACGTTTTTATTGGTTCTGTGTGGTTTTTATATTGTATGGCAAATGTTTTTAACTGTATTTTACGGTATTGGGGCGTCGAATTGTTGCTGACTGTAAACCACCTTGAGTCGCCTTTGGACTGAGAATGGTGGTATACAAATATGGCAAATAAATAAATAAATATATGTCTATAATTTTTATTGTTAATGCTGTTTACTCGTGTTTTAGCTTATCTTGTTTGTTGTTATATTGGTTTAATGTGTTATTATTTCTCTATTTTATTTTATGTACGTTATTTATGTATGTTGTGAGCCACCCCGAGTCCCTTGGGGAGATGGGGTGGGGTACAAATACAGTTGTATTATTATTATTATTATTATTATTATTATTATTATTATTATGCCATGACTTCATTGCATAATAATAATAATAATAATAATAATAATAATAATAATAATACAACTGTATTTGTACCCCACCCCATCTCCCCAAGGGACTCGGGGTGGCTCACAACATACATAAATAACTTACATAAAATAAAATAGAGAAATAATAACACATTAAAAGTCATGACAGTTGAACCAAATGCCTTTTTGGCAACCTTTCACAGTTCATGCATTTTTTATTGTGTAGGAGTCTACAAGAGGTTAGCAACATTTTGTGCAGATTAACTTATTCCTCCTAGAACTAATATCAAGAGGTGCATCTGATTGATATATCTGGTCTTCCTTGCCCAACAGGCTCAGATTCAGCTTGATTGTGGTGAAGACAATGTCTGCGTCCCTGATCTCCACCTCAGTGTCTTTGGGTAAGGGTCTGCCTTTTTTTCCTCTACCATAAGCAGGGAAGAAACAAGGTAACCATATGCTACGCATGTGTCCTTGACTAGCGAATCAAGGTAGAGCCCTCCTCCCACCCTGCATTTCCTTTTGTAGATATGCAGCTGAAAGCAGAAACAGTGGTCCCTTGATATCTGCTAGGGGTTGGTTCCAGGATGCCCCATGGATACCAAAGCTGTGGATGCCCAAGTCCCATTATATACAATGCCATAGTAAAATTGCATCCCTTATATGAAATGGCAAAATTAAAAATATTTCCAGCCTTGCATGGTTGATGCACGGATGCAGAATCTGTGGGCACAGAGGCCTGAGTATATAACCCTTCAGAACCTCCTTAGCAGGGGCTGTCTCCCTCCCTTTAGTAGCCTACTCTCTTGTAATCAACTGTACTTTCTTAACTACATGTTACCACGTTAGTGAGATCCTAGGAGCCCCCAGCGGTGCAGTGGGTTAAACCCCTGCACCGGCAGGACTGAAGACTGACAGGTTGCAGGTTTGAATCCGGGGAGAATGTGGATGAGCTCCTCTATCAGCTCCAGCTCCTCATGCGGGGGACATGAGAGAAACCTCCCACAAGGATGGTAAAACATCAAAACATCCAGGTGTCCCCTGGGCAACGTCCTTGCAGACGGCCAATTCTCTCACACCAGAAGTGACTTGCAGTTTCTCAAGTCGCTCCTGACACGACAAAAAAAAAAAGTGAGATCCTGGATGAGGAAGGTGAATTTCATGCAGTTATATCTCCAAGTGTTACTCTAAAAAAATTCTCACCTTGTAAACAACACAATCTTACCTGCTCCCCATCAAAACATGGCCATGTTCATATTGTAGAAGAAAAGAAAATGAGCAGAGACACTTCCAGCTGTTTTCCAGCAGAGGTCCTTGTGAGTCTTTGTAAATATCTTCTTAATTCCGAAATACCTGGACATGTCTTCACTCTTTCCTCCGCTCTCTAACAACATGGAAAATGTGAATTTTGAGGGGGATTTTTGTTGTTGCTAGAACAAACCGTAACAGAGAGTTGCAGTAGTGTAAATCCGAACCCATGACACCATAATTCACAAATGCAATGTCACTGTGCACAAAAACAAATATATACTTCTCCCAAGCATGGTTGTGGTGTTGGAGTCTCATGGAACAGCAATCCTCCTTCCTTAGACAGTTGACCAGGGGTCCCCAAACTAAGGACTGTGGGCTGAATCTGGCTTTCAAGGCTATTTACCTGGCCCCTGCCCTAAACTTTAGACTTAGGGTAGCTCTAGCTCTGAAATGACTTGAAGGCACACAGCAACAACAATCCTAATTAACTTGACTATCTCACATCAGCCATCAGTTTAATCCCTGGTCTCTCTAGGTAGAGAGACCAGGGGAAGACCTATGGTAGAACCCCTGGAAAGTTATTTCCAGGATGGCCCAGTGTTGTGTTTCACTAGAGATGTTTGTTCCAGATCATCAAATATCATTGGAGAAATCATGCTGAGTTTCCTTTCCCTTGTGTTCTTTCCTCTTTTGCAGCCTTGAAAAGGTTCCTGTTTCAGAGTCTAGGTAATCTGGATTTTAACTGTTGAGGATAAACATTAAGCATTTGAGAGGAAAGCAATAGAACTCCAGATATCCAATACTGGATAATAAACTTGGAAAGGCGTGTATTGTGGTTATTTTCCATCAGCTGTATGTTTCACAGTAACCCTAGCAATGTTAGCAACATGCAGGAAAACACGCAGAAAGATTTGTAACTGATGTAGAAAACACCTTCATTCCCAAATGGAAGACATGTGGGGTGATGACACTTCGTGTTCCTGGCTTAGCGTGCCTGTGTCTTAGCTTCAGAGTCATTTGTTTTGACGTGTACTCTCACTCATTCTTGGCCTAACTCTTTTTCAGGGACCATTCTGTTGTCTACCTGGGAGACAAGAATGCGCTGAACCTCTCCTTCCATGCTCAAAACCGTGGAGAAGGCGGAGCCTATGAGGCTGAGCTCCATGTTATCATCCCACCGGAAGCGGACTACACAGGAGTTTTGCGGAACCATGGGGTAGGTGCTTCCTCATCTTTTATTAGGCATTGCAACCCACTGGTTGGAAATAATGGGTAATGGGTTTTAATGTATAGACAGCTCTCTGCTGAAATAGAAGAGATGGTACACATCGGCAAAGCTGTTTCATTTTCACAATTCTTGATGCTTCTTTGGAGATGGTTTTACCTCCCCTCCCAATCCCATCCTTTTCTTCCCTTTGCAGAGTAACAGACAACAACCACTTTCCCTTCTTATATTGATTTCTCTTTGCCTTTCTCTCTAGAACTTTTCCATCCAGAGTTGCAACTATGATACCATCAATGATACCAAGATGGTCATCTGTGACCTTGGCAATCCAATGAAGGCAGGCATTAGTGTAAGTGTCTGGGTGGGCATCATGCTCTAATACTTGTTTGGGTCAGACAATGTTGGATTGGTAGAAGCATTTCCTTGTAACCTAGAGTGTAGTAGGAAAGCCTGGTACAATGCATGTACAAATTAAGCAGAATTTGTAAATACTTACCTTTTCTGAAAGCATGGATCCCAGAATCTCACAACAAATATGTTGACTGTCATGCTGGCCATGAGATTCTGGAAGCTGTACAGTGTTCCCTCGCTACTTTGTGGTTCGCTTTTAGTGGACTCGCTGTTTTGCGGGTTTTTGAAAAACTTTATAAAAATATTAAGCATTAAATATTGACGTCCAATGGAGGCCAGGGACCCCAGAAGTGTGACAGCCTGAGGCATGGCAGGGAAGGCCTGCCTTCCTGGCCTCCACAGACCACGGAAGTGCCTGAGGCATGACAGGGAAGGCCTGCTGCCACCTGCATGGTGGCCAGGGAGGCAGGCAGGTGCCCTTGGGATGGGCTGGGAGGCGGGTAAGGAAGCACGGGAAGAAAATAATATATAAATATTAAAATTAATATGGCGTCCCTACTTCACAGTTTTTCACTTATCATGGGTGGTCCTGGAACAGATCCCCTGCAATAAGTGTATTCTAAAACAATAACTTTTCTTAACTCTGAAACTATAATTCTCAGAAATCCATCTGTAATGTAATTGGACCAAAGCCACCTTAAGGTATTAGTCATGAAAACTCCCCTTTACGATACAAGTGGACAACCAAGCTACCAACCAAACAGCATACATACATATTTACATACTGACATACTTTGATTTTTATATAGCTAAACACACAAACATATTACCTATCAGTGGAAATTAGCATTTGAGATAGGACTGGTCAAACTTACATGGAATAATTTCCATTCTTTGGGAACTACCCAGTTGGCTGGTCCATATTTTGATCTGGTATAATGTAATAGTGTAAATGGTAACAGGCCACATATTTCCGTAGCAACCATAGTAATTGAAAATTTCAAAGCTCAGTATATGAATTTGCATGGTGCAACACATATCTGGCATTCCCACACAATTGTGTTTCGTAATATTGTCAAATTGTTTTAAGTATATATCACATTATATATATCCCTTTTTTCTCCCATGGGTGAGATTCAAAGTGGCGTACTTCGTCTTCTTAGTAATTCAGTAATTAGTAATTAGTCACAAAATCAGGGGCTTTGTGACTAATCTCTATCTTCCCATGTCTCTCTCCTAGCTCTGGGGTGGGTTACGCTTTACCGTGCCTCGCCTCATTGATGCCAAGAAATCCATCCAGTTCGACTTTCAGATCCACAGGTAAAAACACAAGGAGACAATTCCCCAATGCAACACAGTCCCATTTACCATGATCCCTCTTACCTGTCCTTTGATTATTCCCAGTTAGAAATGCACTTGGCAGTTGGGTGTTTCTGGGAAATGTCTGTCATTAATGGTCTGATTGAGAAGCCCCGTGGTTTTTCAAGTCACAGTTTTAAGGCACTGACAACTTGAAAAATGAGCCTGGTGTCTCTGTGCTGATTTTTCCTAAGATGTTTGGGAAGCCTGTATAATGCTGTGAATGCTTGATGCTTTAGAGAGAAAACGTAAAGAAACAGAGAGTCATGGTTGGAATCACATGGTGATCTGTACCCCAAAAGTCTAGCATTTCATACCAAAGTGTTCATGTGAAACCTGATTGTCATACACAATCTCTTTCTTCACAGCAAGAACGCAAACAATTCCCACAGTGAGGTGGTGTCATACACCTTGAATGTTAAAGCCGCTCTCCGCATCTCACCTCGTGGGTAAGTGCGAAGCCAGATACTATTTATTTATTTATTTATTTATTTACAGTATTTATATTCTGTCCTTCTCACCCCGCAGGGGACTCAGGCAGATCACAGTGCACATATACATGGCAAACATTCAATGCCATAGACACACAACATATATAGACAGACACACAGAAGCTATTTAACTTTCCAGCTTCATGAGAGTATGTTTGAATTCCAGCCACCGTGCTTCACTTTTCACTTGTGACACTGATGGAGTACTTCCTCATTCTTTTGCATGCTGTTGGAGATTTTTATGCTGTCATAAATTAGTTAAATTAGCCTCCCCGCATAAACGGTAAGTAAATTTCGTACTTGACAGATGCAATTGTCTTTTGGGCTGCAAAGGTTGACAGCAAGCTAGACAAATGGTCAGGAGCTTACTTCACCCTGGCCTGGCTTCAAACTCATGGTCTTTCAGTCAGTAGTGATTTTAATGCAGCTGATTCCCAACCAGCTGCGCCATAACACAGTCTAACCCAGCCCTGTACAAAGGAGGCATCTGATGCTTTAAAATAACAGGAAAGTTGGAGGTGTTAAATGCAGAGCTCAGTTACTTTTTGACTGCAAGCCTCAGGATCCCACTGGCCACTCTGGGAGTGGTGTACTGGAAGTTTGTAGTTCAAATGCGTTTAAAATCCATGCCCCTTCCCCACCCCACCTTGGAACCACACTGATTAATTCCCAAATGCTATCAAAAGTTAATGACAGATGCTGGAAGTGTGAAGAACAAACTGGCTCTTTCTTCCACATGTGGTGGACATGTGAAGTAGCCAAATCTTATTGGAAAAAATACATGAAAAATTAGAGAAGATACTGGAAATAAAAATAGAGTTAAGACTAGAACATTTCCTACTAGGGATGTTAGATATACAAATGGAAAAGAACAAGGACAAACTCTTTGATTATTTAGAGTAATTTATGCGAGAGTCTGGAGAACAAATGAGACTCTGACACAGGAACAATGGTTAACGAAGATCATAGACATTATGAATATGGACAAATTGGCACAACTGATGAATGCAAACCAAAAACCGAATACAACAAAAACAGACTGGTTTTTAGTAAAGAACTTTATATCACAAGAAAACTTGAAATCGATTATTGATTTAAGATAAAAACTGGAATACAACACTCTTAATGAAGATGCTGTAAGACTGGCAGCTTTAAATAAAGGGAATATTTCAAAGAACATTATTACTGACGTGAAGACGATTGGAAGCTAGATTTCCCAATCCAACGCCAACTACCCTCCCTTTTTCCTCCCCCCCCCCCCCCCCCCCGCTTCTACCTCCACCCCACCCCTAGCTCCACCCCAACTTGCCCTTGGTGAACCTTTTTTCTTTTAAACCTGCTGTATATACTCGAGTATAAGCCTAGTTTTTCAGCCCTTTTTTTAGGCTGAAAAAGTCCCTCTTGGCTTATACGTGAGTCAAGTTATTTATTATTGAATTCTGTTGTTGTTGTTGTTACATTTATCATTTTACTCTTATTATTATTACCTTTATTATTTTACAGTTATTACTATCATTATTACATTTATTATTTCACTCTATTATTATTGGAAGGATACATAAGCACATTTACATTGAAGAAGGTTAGAATAATGGTTTAATCAAAGTTGGGCAGTCTTATCTTAAATTACAGTTTTATGTAAATATTCAAAAACATTTAACCTTCTGATGCCTCAATTAATGTAATTGTATTGATATCTATTTATATTTTGAAATTGATCAGTAGCTGCTGCATTTCCCATCCCTCGGCTTATACTTGAGTCAATCTATTGTCCCAGTTTTTTGTGGTAAAATTAGATGCCTCGGCTTATATTCGGGTCAGCTTATACTCGAGTATATATGATATTTTGTAAGAAAATCTTAATAATTTTTTTAAAAAAAGATGTGCTACCTACACAAAGAAACTACTTAAAATCCTATTGTAACTGGATTCATAAGCAAAATGCCTGTATGCTGTATACATGAAGTTTTGGGAGTAAACCAACTTTGTTGCTTTAAAACAATGATGCTTTTATGTCAAAGTGCAACCCAGGCCGAGCGACAGCTCTTAACTCAAAAAGTTCTTAAGTTAGGATGCTCTTAAGTAGAGGTTCCACTGTATAAATGTTTTAAGGAATTCAGACATCTGCCACCTGTGAACAGTCAATTTGCGATTTTATGTCACGAAAGAAGAGTAGGTAAGGAAAAGAATCTGAGCTTGGGAATGATCAAAGAACATACAAAATGTCTAAACCCACAAAGATCACAGGCAAACCATTGCTGTACGATGTGGGCTTTGATTTCGGAGGAAGCAGAATGAGAATTCAGTTCTTGTACATTCTGGATTTGCCTAACGTATTAAAAAAGCCATTTTCACTGCCCGTTTTTAAACCCTGTTGCTCTGTTCTTGCCTTTAACCGACTTACTTTGTCTTTCTACAGAGCTTCCATGCCTGACACAGTGTCTCTCCCAGGCTCTGGTTGGGTTCCAGGTCGATCGGTGCACCGAGAGCAAGATGTGGGCCCTGGTGTGTGCCATGTCTATGAGGTGGGTGTGATTGTCTGAGAAAGAGGAGGCTGCTGCAGTGATTACAGTTTATCTTTGGGCAGGATTACTCTTATTTTCAGAAGCATATCTTTGCAGATTGTAATGTCTGGAGGTTTTGTGAGTTCCACAGTCTATGCAGGTATTCTTCCACCTCAATCATGCATAGTTGTAGCACAAATAGCATCTCGTGTGATTATAAATGAATTTTTCTATTAGATCAGCGTTTCTCAACCTGGGGGTCGGGACCCCTAGAGGGGTCATGAGAGGGTGTCAGAGGGGTCGCCAAAGACCATCAGAAAACACAGTATTGTCTGTTGGTCATGGGGATTTTATGTGGGAAGTTTGGCCCAATTCTATCATTGGTGGGGTTAAGAATGCTCTTTGATTGTAGGTCAGCTACAAATCCCAGCAACTACAACTCCAGAATGTCAAGGTCTATTTTCCCCAACTCCACCAGTGTTCACAATTGGGCATATTGAGTATTTGTGCCAAGTTTGGTCCAGATCCATCATTGTTTGAATCTACAATGCTCTCTGGATGTAGGTGAACTACAACTACAACTCCTGAATGTCCAAGTCTATCCCCAGACTCCACCAGTGTTCACATTTGGGCACATTGAGTATCTGTGCCGAGTTTGGTCCAGATCCATCATTGCTTGAGTCCACAGTGCTCTCTGGATGTAGGTGAACTATAACTCCAAACTCAATGCTCACCAAACCCTTCCAGTATTTTCTCTTGGTCATGGGAATCCTGTGTGCCAAGTTTGGTTCAGTTGCATCATTGGTGGAGTTCAGAATGCTCTTTGATTTTAGGTTAACTACAAATCCCAGCAACTACAATACCCAAATGACAAAATCAATTATCCCCCCTCAACCCCACTGTTTTTCAAATTTGGGCATATTGCGTATTTCTATCAAATACATCCTGTATATCAGATATTTATATAATGATTCATAACAGTAGCAAAATTACAGTTGTGAAGTAGCAACAAAAATAATTTTATGGCTGAGGATCCCCATAACATGAACAACTGTATTAAGGGGTCGCGGCATTAGGAAGGTTGAGAAACACTGTATTAGATGGATGTATCTGAAGGGAAATCCTATGGCTCAGGAGTAGAGCACATGCTTGTCACAATGTGGACCCTGTGCATTCTCAGTTGGAAAGAACTCAGGCAACACATGATAGGAAGACTTCCCTGTACCACAGAACAGGGTACAAAGTAGTCAAAGTAGTCAACTTGGTGTGGCATTAGTTTGATCTGACATGATGAGTCTTCCTATGTTATTTGATTGCTATACCTTCAACTCTCACACATTTTTTTCTGCAGTTTGCAAATGAGGGACCAAGTGCCATCAGCGAGGGGATCTTGGACATCAGCTGCCCACTCCAGATGACAGGGCGACCTGTGATGTATGTTACACGCTATATAGTGCCAGCAAATTGTACCTCCAGCCACCCTATCAACCCATTACGCCTGCAGGTAAAAGCTGGAAAAGGAGTGAAAGGTTCTGGGAGATTGGTAGGGGATGTGAATTTGTGGGTCAGAGTTCATCTCTGGTACCAAGATTAACAGAAGTAATATTTAGTAACGTATGCTTAGGAAGAGCTCAATAACTTCATGGAGAGATCATCATGCTCTTCAGCTTCCTAAACCCTGTCTTTTACCTTTAACTTGCAGACCTGCTGTGCAACACAATATATTTAGATACATAAATTGTGCATGGTTTAGTATGCGGTTTGTCCACACACAACACTGCAGTTTTGCTTCCTGTTCCAATGTGCAGCAGTTGCAAGAAAGGCAAACTGCATGTTAGGGATCATTGCAAATGAAACTGCAAAGAAGGCAACCAGTATATCAAGACCTTATTACAAACAACAATGTAGCCATGGTTGGAGCATTGTATCATTCTGATCTCCAGATCTCAGAAAAGACCAGGCAAGAAATTTTTCAAAGATTATTATTATTATCGCAAAAGCACAGTATGTCACAGCAAACGAGATCTATATGCTGGATTTGGGATCACAAAATCACAAGTCGAAGACTTCCCAAGCGTCTAGGACTGTGTGATGTATTTTCGAATGATGCGCACAGATCCAAGTAAGGTGGCCTTTTGCAGTTGACAGATCATGATTTTGTCAATGTTTATTGTTTCCAAATGCTGGCTGAGATCTTTTGGCACGGCACCCAGTGCACCAATGACCACTGGGACCACCTGTACTGGTTTATGCCAGAGCCTTTGCAGTTCGATTTTGAGGTCTTGATAGCGGCTGAGTTTTTCTGTTGTTTTTCCTCAATGCGACTGTCATCCGGTATGACGACATCAATAATCCAGACTTTTTTCTTTCCCACAACCATGATGTGTGGTGTGTTGTGTTCCAAAACTTTATCAGTCTGGATTCAACTGACAAAGTTTTGGAACAGTGTCAGTCGAATCCAGACCGACAAAGTTTTGGAACACAGTATTTTTGCATGTTCATTTTCCATGACCTTTGCAGGTTTATGATCCCACCAATTCTTTACTGCTGGCAGGTGGTACTTGTGACATAAATTCCAGTGAATCATTTGGGCCACAAAGTTGTGCCTTTGTTTGTAGTCCGTCTGTGCGATTTTCTTGCAACAGCTGAGTAGATGGTCCATGGTTTCATCAGCTTCCTTGCACAGTCTGCATTTTGGGTCATCAGCTGATTTTTCGATCCTGGCCTTAATTGTATTGGTTCTGATGGCTTGCTCCTGGTTATTATTATTATTATTATTATTATTCAGTAAAGGTGGTCCAAGTGGTGATCGGCACACTGGGTGCAGTGCCTAAAGACCTTACCTGCATTAAACACAATCGGCACTGACAAAATTATCATCTGTCAGCTTCAAAAGGCCACTTTACAGGGAACTGCACACATTATTTGCTGATACATCACACAGACCTAGACACTTGGGAAGTGTCCGACATATGATCCAATACATCAGCCGGCAGAGTGATCTTGTTTGCTATGGACTCATCTTGTTGTGTTTCAAATAATAATAATTCAGACTGACAGAGTTTTGGAACACAATACTCCTAAACTCACGATCGAGTTAAAAAACAAAGTATGGATCATCAATGTTGCAATCCCAGTTGGCAGCAGAATTGATGAGAAGCAAAGAAAAACTGACATGATATAAAGATTTAAAGATCGAACTGCAAAGAGACTGCCACAAGTCAGTAAAGGTGGTCCCAGTGGTGATCGGCACACTGGGTGCAGTGCCTAAAGACCTTGGCCTGCACTTAAACACAATCAAAGCTGACAAAACTACCATCTGCTAGCTGCAAAAGGCCACCTACTATGATCTGCACGCATTATTTGCCGATACATCACACAGTCCTAAACACTTGGGAAGTGTCCAATCATGTGATCCAATACAACAGCCAACATAGTGATCTCATTTGCTGTGGACTCATCTTGTTGTTTATCAAATAATAGTAGTAGTATTTTTAAATTGTATTTTATGTCTTTAATATTGACTGTAAACCGCTCCGAGTCACCTGTGAGCTGAGAGGTGGTATATAAATGTAGTAAGTAAGTAAGTAAGTAAATAAATAAGTGTAGTAGTAGTAGTAGTAGTAGTAATCTTTATTTATATTGTGCCCTATCTCCCCAAGGGGACTCAAGGCAGTTTATAACAAATATCAGCAAACATTCAATGTCGTAAAGAAACTGAACAAGCACAAATTAACCACCCCACCCATATCCCTAAAACAAACAAATCAAAAATAACGACACATTCTCAAAAGTTAAACGATAGCATCCCGAGTGATGTTGCAATATACAAGATACAATTGGAGCCCGAATTATTATTATTGGGAATGTCAAATAACCAAACAAAACCATTAAACAACAAAGTATATAGATGTGTATCATTGTTTTTTATGAATATGAAAATTAAAAAAATTAAGAAGTAAGAAGTGGTGTAAAAACAAATTAAAGCAAAGGTATGGACAAGGTGTTTTTTTATAAGGTGTTAATTGCCAAATGAAGAGTCTGCTAAGAATTGTGGTTTGGTGATTTTTCCATTCCATAATGAGCAGGTAAACTATGCTATTAACTGTGGAGAATTTATTTGCAAGGGTTCTTTAACTAACATATACTCTCCCCTTCCCCTTTTCTTTTCTTTCTCTGGATACTTAGCTGGATCCACCTCCAACACCTTTCCCGTGGCAGGAGCAGTACTATGTGCAGAAGCAAGATGGCGCATGGAGCAGTGGATCTGGGGGGCACAGCTTCAGCCTGGTAAGCCCAGCACTGATATCACTTCCTGCCAAACTTGTCTCTAGAGCAGCCTTTCCCAGTTGGCCAGGAAGAGTGCCTAAAAGAGTGCTTCCTAAGCTGTATGATGTGGGTACTGGTGATGGCTTTGCCACTCTTGCCACAGTGGTTCTTTACTTACAGTCTGTTGATTTGCACCCATTGGTTGTTACATTGTGGAACATACACTGGTTCAGGCAGTTAATGTACCCACAAATAAGCTTTAGGGAAGCTGCCAACACTGGTTGTGTAACTCACTTTGATGTTTGTCCTTCCTTTTTTGTGCTACAGGGATGTAAAGAGGGTGAATGTTTCCAACTACGCTGCCACATGGGGGCACTACAACGACAGGAAAGTGTCAGTTTGCGTCTCTACTTTCGTATCTGGTCTAAGAGTTTTCAGCAGGTAAGCACCAAACTTGTCTGATATCTGCCAATCCTCATGAAGTATAATCCTAGGGCAAATAAACAATTGGGGCATCGACTGAGAGAGAGGTGTACTGTAGTTTGCTGGGCGTTTCATGGTATTCATATTAGTAGAGTTTTGCCTCTAGTTGTTTATCAGTTTATCCATGTGGGCACATCGCAGTGCTTATGGGTTTTGGCTATCTCCTGTGGTATCCTACTTTTGTCAGCGATAGCAGAAGAGCTCTCTGACTGAGAATGCTAAAAGCCTCGCCTTCAACTGGAAATCCCAGGATTCCACAGCATGGAAATAAAATGGGATCGTCATGCGATAGTTGTGTGATGTGGATAAACCCCTAAGGAGAGCCTACTTTCCTCCACCCAGTTGGCTTCCTTCTTCTGTGACCTTAGTGCATGTTTCCACATGAGATCATATTAAAAGATCCATCTTCAAGATAGTATATTAAAATATTTTATCAAGGGGTGTGCAGTGGTGCAGCGGGTTAAACTGCTAAGCTGCAGAAATTGCCGACTAGAAGGTTGGCGGTTTGAATCATTGTTAGCCCCAGCTCCTGTCAACCTAGCAGTTCAAAAACATGCAAATGTGACTAGATCAATAGGTACAGCTTCGACAGGAAGGTAACAGTGCTCCATGCAGTTATGCTGGCCACATGACCTAAGAGGCATCTATGGATAACACTGGCTCTTCAGCTTAGAAATGGAGATGTGCACCACCCCCCAGAGTCGGACTAGACTTAATGTCAAGGGGAAACCTTTACCTTTTTATATTATATCAATTCAGCAGAAAGCAATGTATTATACCTGTTCTGGAGTATAACTTCCAAGGCTTTGGAAATGAATGGGCTGTATCAGGCATGTAGCGGGGGGGGGGGGGGGGGGGGGGGGGGGGGAGGCTTGGGGGTCTTCAGCCCCCCCCCCCAAATTTTCATGGTGGTTCGCAAAAAGGCCTTACTGGTGCATTTTTTAAACTGTTATGTTTATTCATATCATGATCTGATCACCATACTCAATATATCCCATATGCATGGGGGTATTGGGGTAATGATACAAAAGGTTTGCTAGGGTAGACCCTCTTTCACTCAGACTCAGCCCCCCCCCCAAAAAAACTCAGCCCCCCCTCCCCCCCCTCCCCCGCGAATCAAAATCCTGGCTACGGGCCTGGGCTGTATGGTGCAAAATTTGCTACTCGTTCTTTTCACATTGGTGCTGCTTCTACAGCTAATCTACAAGACTGGGACCTCATTATATTCAAAGAGTGTGGAGATTGTGGTCTCAAACTTTCAAGAAATATACCCACCCCTTTTCTCAACAGGGAGGGATTAACCTGTCTTTCAGTGGCAGGGCACTCATTACTGGTCCTCAGTGTGAAAGGGTTTGCTATTCAAGCCTCTCAATGATAATCCTCTTGGCATGCTGTCACTGCTATCATTTGAGGGTCTAGTGTAGGTACAAAAGAAATCATTCTCTCCCCACCCCAACCCCATCCCTGCTTCAAACTTGTGCATTCACAATGGATGTAACTGTCTCTAGCACTATAACCTATCGTAGCTCCACTCTTTTGAGCCACGAAAGCCCTCCCCCCCCCCCCCCCCCCCCCCCCAACCATCCCCCCCACCCCCCCCCCCCCCAAATTTTCATGGTGGTTCGCGAAAAGGCCTTATGGTGCATTATTTAAACTGTTATGTTTATTCATATCATGATCTGATCACCATACTCAATATATCCCATATGCATGGGGGTATTGGGGTAACGATACAAAAGGTTTGCTAGGGTAGACCCTCTTTCACTCAGACTCACCCCCCCCCCCCCAAACAAACTCCGCCCCCCCTCCCCCCCCCCCGCTTCTTGGCAGGGGTTGGACTGGATGGCCCACAAGGTCTCTTCCAACTCTATGATTCTATATTCTTCCCCCCTCCAACAAACACTTATAGAGTAACCTCACACATGTACTTACATATGTATACCTGGTCTTTGCCAATCTTTCACTTGTTCTCCATGTGATGGCAGTAGCATCCGATATAAAAAGGAATGGGAGATGACAATGATGCAGAGGATGGATACTCATGATATAAATGCAATGAAATACACCCTGCTGGTAAAAATAGCTCTGCCCCTTTCCAATATATGGAACACGAGTGTTTGCTTTTCCTATTTCCTATTGCTTTTCCTAACCGCTCTGAGTCGCCTAATGGCTGAGAAGAGCAGTATACAAATAAAGTAAATAAATAAATAATATTTATTTTAAGTTTCAAAGTTAATTTTTGTGAGAAATGTGGTGGGGGATATATGTTTGGCTAAGAGGTAAGGTTTGCTCTGATGTAGCTGGCCATCCAGGATCTTTGAGAAGCCATTGTTTAATTGATCTTTCCTGTTTGTTATACTCTTGCAGAAGGAGAGCAATCCCCATAGCATCCAGTGTGAAGCCGTCTATCATGTACAGAAAGTGCCTTACAAAATCCAACTGGAAAAGCAGCCCCCTGCCAGCATGAAGGTGAGCATTGGTTGGTAGTGGGATAAGATTAGACAAAATAGTTGCAAACTACTAATAATAATAGAAGTCAGGTAAAAATATTGTTAGTAGTAGTAATAATAATGTATTACCGAGTTTTAAATATTAATAGGGACAGGATATCATTTAAAATCAGAGCTATTCAGGTCACAGCATTTCCACTTTCTGTGGATCATTGTGAAAGCTGGTCATTAAAGCAAGCTGATAGGAAGGGAATCCATCCATTGGAAATGTGGTGCTGGAGGAGATATCTATGGACAGCATAGACTGCCTTCATGAAATTCAGTTAAATGATGGAATTTGCTACCACAATATGTACTGATAGTTATTGATTTATATCGAGTTGTTGTTTGTTTATAGTTTTGTGCTGTTTGTAGCATCATGGACACTAAACCAGGCATATGAGGACTGCCATTTTTGACAAGCATCCCACCAAGAGGGTGAATTATGGGTAAAAACTGCCCAACTTTGGCAAAAGGCTACTACCCATAATTTACCCTCCCAAATTTGAATTGGTGCGATGCTTGTCAAAGATGGCAGTCCTTATATGCCTGGTTTAGTGTCCATGATGCTACAAACAGCACAGAGCTACAAACAAACAAACAACTAAATATAAATCAATAGGAAAGGAGATGCTGAATCAGAGAAGAGATGAGTCTTTGGTTTGGTCCAGAGGGCTCTTATAATAATACTAGCTGTACCCGCCACGCGTTGCTGTGGCCAACCTTCCTCCCTATTTCTTTTCTTTCTTTCTCTCCTTCCTTCCATCTTTTCTTTCTTTCCCTCCTTCCTTCCTTCTCTTCTTCTTCCCTTCCATTCCCCACATTTTTTCTTTTTGTTCCTCTTTCTCCCCTCCCTTCCTTCTCTACTTATTCTAGGACTGCAACTCCCAGTAATCCTCCTAATCCATCTCTCTACCATCTCTCTACCTACCTATCAATCTATCTAATCTATCTATATATCTGAAGGATTGCTGGCAGTTGCAGTCCAGGAATAGGAAATTGGAAATTGGAAATCCGCAGGGATTGGGATGCTCTCAAATAAATCAAAGAAGAAGAAAGCTTGCAGTTTGGAAGCAGTGTAATTGGATCATCCTCCTCTCCTAAAAAGCCTGGTCTGGGAGCTGTAGTATGGAAGAGAGTGTGGATATGCTATTGTGTGTTTTGTTTGCCAGGGGATTTGTTTGTCATTTTTGCACATGCACTGTAGCATCTTTTTGCTTTTTTGGCCTTTTAAGTCCCTTCTGCTGTGTTTTTCCAATGTTTTTATGAGTGATGGTCTCTTGTTGGCCTGACAGGTGTATTGAGCCCAAATTTGGTGTCAATTCGTCCAGTAGTTTTTGAGTTATGTTAATCCCACAAACAAGCATTACATTTTTATTTATATAGATAACTAGCCGTCCCCTGCCATGCGTTGCTGTGGCCCAGTCTGTATATATGTGTTTTGTGTATGTATGTGTGTTTGCATGTATATATGTAGTTTTGCACATGCATTGTAATGCATTTTTTTGGCTTTTTAAGTCTCTTCTGCTGTGTTTTTCAGTATTTTTATGAGTAATGGTCACTTGTTGGCCTGTTAGATGTATTGTGTCCAAATTTGGTGTCAATTTGTCCAGTGGTTTTTGAGTTATGTCAATCCCACAAACAAACATTACATTTTTTGTTTATATAGATAATATAATAATAATAATAATAATAATAATAATAATAATACTTTATTTATATTCTGCTCTATCTTTCTGGAGAGACTCGGGGCACATTCCAAACATAAAAGGCAAACATTCAATGCTCTACACAGGAACAAGAATTGAATTAGAATTGGCTTGCTTTTTTAGCCAAGTTCCACCTAGTTCGCATGCTAATTCCAGCGACCAACCAGGTTCCTCCCCTAAGCTCCTAGCCTAGCCAGGAAGGATGAAACCATTATTTCGTCTTGGTCCAAGAGCCTGTTCTCTGTTCAGAGGAGATCCATATAATGTTTCTTGCTAACCAGATAAACAATCCTTGAGATACAAGATTGATTAGGGCTCTCCCATGGGTCTTATAAACTTTATTTATATCCCGCCCTCTCTCTCCAAAGGGATTCAGGATGGCTCTTACCCAGTGCAGCAAGGTCATTCTTGTCTGCATATTGGCTCATGATCAGCATGACCTTTGCCTTGTTTCTTTTCTCTTGGCAGGTGTCAACCTCACTGCATTGGGCCAAAGCAGAGACCAGCCAGGGGGTTCCTCTCTGGATCATCATCTTAGCCATTCTGATTGGACTGCTGCTCCTGGCACTGCTCATCTATGTTTTATACAAGGTAGGATGGCTGAAGGGGAACCTCTCATGAAGAGAGAGGGGTGTGCATTCATCTTAGGGGAGAAGAGGTTAGAATCTCTCTCTCTTTCTCTCTTTTTTTTTTTGTCATATCAGGAGCAACTTGAGAAACTGCAAGTTGCTTCTGGTGTGAGAGAATTGGCTGTCTGCAAGGATGTTGCCCAGGGGACGCCCGGATGTTTAGATGTTTTTACCATCCATGTGGGAGGCTTCTCTCATGTCCCCGCATGAGGAGCTGGAGCTGATAGAGGGAGGTCATCTGTGCTCTCCCCAGATTCAAACCTGTGACCTGTCGGTCTGCAGTTCTGCTGGCACAGGGGTTTAACCCACTGCACCACCAGGGACCTGTTAGAATCTCTAAAATACTAGAAAACGCAGACTGTAAAGTTTTGAAATAGCTGCATTCCAGTGTTCTCTGGCACACTGAGCTGAGAACCATTGCTTTTTTTCCCTACCAACAATTCTGTGTTTCTAGATGTGTTGGTTAATAAGGATAATGATGCAATCTGAAGAGCCAGATTAAAGTTTTGCATTTTTCCAAGTGGTGATTATTGAGTGGAGCCTCTGCTTCCTGGACAGGTCTTGATCCTCCCTAGATCTAAATCTATTCTTTTCTGGCTTTGCTCCATATTTTGAGGCATTTCACACACTGTGCAGAGGTACAGCCAGGTTGCCACCCCCAGTATAGTAAACAATGCATGACCTCTGTGATTTGTTTATTTCAAAACACAGGTTTGATGCATCCCTGTCATTCAATTCCATTGTACGTCTAAAATTGCAGTGTGTGAAGGTCTTTACAGCATTTAATTGATACATGCACATAATAGCTGGAATTCTCTTAAGAACATACATATGGTTAGATGTTCCCTTCTTGAGCAGCAGCCAAATATGCCCCCCTTTGATTTAGTGAAAAGCTGCTGCAGCCATTTAACATAGCCATTCCTTGCTTTGTGGGAAGCAGAAAGGATCAGAGACATGTCTGGCTATGTCCCAGAGCCAGATGTGTATTCTCAGTGCTGACTTCATTACTTCGTTTCTGGCTATGGGAAGTGATCAGATGCTTCTCCAAGCTTGTCTGGTTGCTTTGAAGCATGGAATGACTGTGTGGGGCAATTGGAGGATTACAGGAAGTCAATGGTAAAGTCTGTTTGTGCCTCAGTCGTGATGAGAGCATGTGGCAACCATTGAATGATAGATACACCTGCATTCGAAGTGCTTAAATTTTATTGAGTCATTCCGAATGTAGTTTTTGACAAGGGTTTTAGATAAACATACTGTCCATTGGCAATCCTGTATATTAAAGAAACCCTGAAAACTTCTTTCTTTAATATATGGGATTTGGAGTGGGGGTGGCTTTCATAACCTTTTCGGGAAAAGTGGCATTCATAACCTTTTTGAAAAGAAAAGTGATGTCATAGCCTTTTGGCCATTAACATCTGGAGACCACCTTTTGAAAACCACTACTCAAGGAAAGGCATAACCTTGTTAGAAGTCAACGCTTTGAAAAAGTAATGTTCACAAGTATTCATGTAATGGCATACAGGTAACTCAGCTGTTAAACGGATAAATCATGTCTTTGGACTGCCAGGGACAAAGACATGCCACTGAACAAAAAACATGTATTGTATATACTCAAGTATAAGCCTAGTTTTTCAGCCCCCTTTTTAGGCTGAAAAAKTTCCCCTCGGCTTATACWYGAGTCAAGTTTATTTATTACTTTACTTTGTTATTAGTATCATTTTATTACATGAATTATTTTAATATATTATTATTATATTTACACTATTTTACTCTACAGTATTATTATTTTATTACATTTATTATTTTACACTATTTTATTAGTATTATTATTTATTTACTCTTTATTATTATTACATTTATTATTTTACTTTATCTTTATTGTTACTGCATTTATAATTTTACTCTGTTATTACTGTTATTACATTTCCATTATTTTACATTATTATTATTATTATTATTATTATTATTATTATTATTATTATTATTATTATCCTGACACAAAAACACAGTATGACACAGCAAATGAAGTATATATGCTGGATTTCATTATTATTATTATTTTACTCTCTTTATTATTAATGGAGGGATACATAAGCACATTTACACTGAAGATTAGAATAATGATTTAATCAGAACTGGACTGTCTTATCTTAAATTACAGTTTTATGTAAATATTCAAAAACATTTAACCTACTGATGTCTCAATTAATGTGATTTTATTGATATCTATTTTTATTTTGAAATTTACCAGTAACGGCTGCATTTCTCACCCTCGGCTTATCCTCGAGTCAATAAGTTTTCCCAGTTTTTTTTGTGGTAAAATTAGGTGCCTCAACTTATATTCGAGACGGCTTATACTTGAGTATATACGGTACTTGGCTAGCAGAGTTTTAAAATGTTTCTTTGAAGTTGAAATTGCAGTTACCCAAAACATATACTCTCCCTTGAAAGCTCTTTGTTTAAAATATGCACTCAGAGACAAAAAAAGTAACATATCTTGTTTACTCACAAACATATTGTATTAATTCCGCACACAGGCACATTTCTTATTAAAGGCCAGTTAAAGATAGGATGTAGTTTCTCTGTGTTGAGAACACAGGGCATCATTCTTAATCAATAGTCCAAAGTCTTTAAGTATACATCTTATGAAAGCCCCCAGTGACGCAGTGGGTTTGAGCTGCTGAGCTTGTTGACCAAAAAGTCACAGGTTCAATTCTGGGAAGTGGCGTGAGCTTCCGCTGTCAGCCCTAGCTTTTGCCAACCTAGCAGTTCGAAAACATGCAAATGTGAGTAGATAAATAGGTACTGCTCGGTGGGAAGGTAACGGCACTCCGTGCAGTCATGCCGGCCATGGAGGTGTCTATGGAGAACGCCGGCTCTTCGGCTTAGAAATGGAGATGAGCACCATACCCGAGTCAGACATGACTGGACTCAATGTCAGGGGACAACCTTGTTTTGTTAACCTTATGTAAGTCCAAATTGTATAACTGTACTCACTGCTTCTCAAAGCAAACATATAGTGAACTGTTCCTGCATAAGTTTAAAAGACATCTGCTTCCATTGAAGTCCAAAAGCATACTGCATCCACCTCCACTGAGGTCTAAAGCGAACTGCTAACATTAAAGTCCAAAAGCATCCTGATAACAAAATGGAGTCTTGAGTCTGAACATGCTCAAACAATCACATGTTTGTAGGCCCTCCCACACCAAAGAGGTCAGGCAAAATGGCAAATCAGTATATACATACAATACAAGTTAGCAAATATATATATTAACAAAGAAATAGTGAAGGCTTGGAAGGGTGCTATTTCCAACAATGTTCTGGTCCTCAAATATTTGGAGGCAAATTCTAAAAAAATAATTGGGTTAGTGACAGTGCCTACTGGAAGGATGGTTGCCATTCTCATGCATTTCGTGCCACTCCAGGAGGACTTTTCTCGAGCTATCTCCTTTATTATTATTATTATTATTATTATTATTATTATTATTATTATTTTGGTTACTTCTACCCCGCCCTTCTCACCCCGAAGGGGACTCAGGGCGGCTTACAAAGGCACAATTCGATGCCAGCATCACATAACAGTAATAAAACAAATAGGGTCAATTAACCGTTAAACAACCATTCCTGCATAACAACAATAAAACCAATAGAACCAATAAAACCAATACAAACCCAATTACTCCTCATTGACAGTCAGAATTTGCTATCTCATAGTCCAAATTCCATTTCCACATTGTCAGTCCTGTCAGTCCTAATCGTCTGATTGTCCTTATCTAGTTGTCAGATTGCCCAAAGGCCTGGTCCCACAACCACGTCTTTACTTTCCTCCTGAAGGAGAGGAGGGATGTTGATGCCCTAATTTCCCCCGGGAGTGAGTTCCACAGGTGAGGGGCCACCACTGAGAAGGTGGTGTTCACCCCACTTTGTCAAGTGAGGAGCTAAATCAAGGATAGAGAAGTCTTCTTGCATGAATCTTGTTTTGTTTCAGTAGGGTTTGCCCTAGAGACAATCACTGGGTGTTGTTCCCCATGCAGAACCTGATCGCCTCTCCCTATTTCCTTCCTCAGCTGGGCTTTTTCAAGCGCTCTCTTCCATATGGGACGGCCATGGAGAAGGCTCAACTGAAGCCACAAGCAGCTTCGGAGGCCTAGCAGGCCCAGCATTGCCCTCTGCACATGTGTGTTGTCGCTGCTGTCCTGCAGAGGGGCACCAGGATTGCCTGCCGCGAGCACTGGGGAGGGGAGTGCATCAGACACCAACAGGGCAAAGAATGGGCAGGGCCCCAGCGGCTGAGCCCCCCCAGTGGACTGCCACAAAGAACAATGCGCCAGGCTCCTCTGCCCCACACCAAAAGAGGTTCCTTCCCTCTCCCCCCATTCCCTGGGGCTTGGATCCTACAAAGACGTTGTACCCTGACTGGGGTCTGCAGCAGGCCTTTGCTCCCAGCCAAAGGGAATACTTGAAGCCGCTGGAGCGGCCGGTGCTGGCCTGATCTCAGGCCCCCTCTGCCAAGCTGCCTGTTCCGTCCATCTTTGGGGAAGGGAGTGTTGCCCTGGACAGTTTTGATGCTGCCAATCTCCTCTGAAACAGCTCAGCCATGATGATGATGAAGATGAAGGAAAAGCACAATCACCTCCCAAATCTTGCCCGTTCTCTTGCACGGGCCAGAATGGAGGATCCTGGGCTTTCACTTTCTGTCTCCCCACACCCCTGGCCTGCTTCCTGTGGGGAATGACGTGGGACAGAGACTTAAGCTAGGAAAGCCGGATGCTCCCGCAATGCCAAAGTTTGCCACGTTAGGAAGCCAAGCCATTGCCCGGTGTCGGCCCGGACTTGTCGACGGTCTTCGCACTGATCTCCGAAAAACCGCTAGAGATTTTATTTTTCAGATGCCACTTTAATTGAAAGAAGAGGAAGAAGAAGGAATGAGGAAGCTGCTGCCGCCTCCGAATTTCAGAGACAGGGGTTGCTGTTTTAATTTAAAATGTCCAATGTGCAATAAATGCTTCCATATTTTCCATGTCTTGATATTTTGTGTCTTTTTAATTGTAAAATTTCAACAAGAATAGTGAAAAGATGTTTGTTCCTGTAGGTGTGGTTTAAAATAAACTTCTGGGATGAAGCCAGATAAAGCAAAATGCAGAACAAACACACCTTGTTAAAGGAAGTATTTGGGGTAGGCATGAAAGATAAAGGCCCTCTTTTGGGACCCAAGAGGGAAGAAGAGCATTTTAGGAGGCTCAAGAGCAGTGGTTCTCAACCTTCCTAATGCCGCGACCCCTTAGTCCAGTTCCTCATGTTGTCCTGACCCCAACCATAACATTATTTTTGTTGCTACTTCATAACTGTAATTTTGCTACTGTCATGAATTGTAATGTAAATATCTGATATTCAGGATGGATTTTCATTCACTGGACCAAATTTGGCAGAAATACCCGATACGCCAAATACTGGTGGGGTTGGGGGAGATTGATGTTGTCGTTTGGGAGTTGTAGTTGCTGGGATTTATAGTTTGCCTACAATCAGAGAGCATTTTGAACCCCATCAACGAAGAAATTGAACGAGACCTGGCCACACAGAACTCCCATGACCAACAGAAAATGCTAGAATGGCTTGGTGGGCATTGACTTTGAGTTTGGGAGTTGTAGTTCACCTAAATCCAGAGAGCACTGTGGACTCAAACAATGATGGATCTGGACCAAACTTGGCACGAACACTCAATATGTGCAAATGTGAACTCTGGTGGAGTTTGTGGAAAATAGACCTTGACATTTGGGAGTTGTAGTTGCTGGGATTTATAGTTCTGAACCCTACCAATAATAGAATTGGATCAAACTTCCCACACACAACCCCCATGACCAACAGAAAATATTGTGTATTCTGATGATCTTTGGGGACCCCTCTGACACCCCCTTGCGACCCCCCCGGGGGGTCCCAGCCCCTAGGTTGAGAAACACTGCTCAAGAGGCTTTCCCCCTGTCCTTTGGTGTTCTTCCTGGCATTTCGGTATTTTCACTAGTCCCAATTTACACTTGCAACAGCCAATTAACATATGAACTTGGACCTAGAGATATCTGCCTTTGGGAAATTGCCTGTTAATATTAGCTATTAAACAAAGTGTGACATGAATTAATGAATATATAAGCTTGATTACAAGATATACAGCATTTCCCAATTTATGTCTGATAACGAATGGGGAAGTTGTTTGTAGATTAACCCAATGAAGCTTGAACCAGCTGCTGTGTATTTGACTAAGAGATGGGTGGAGAATTTGAATTGTGGAGGCAGGGAGTCCAATATGCCAGAGTCTGGGAATACAAAGCACACTTAAGGAGTCAACTGGGATCCTGTTGGCAGCATATGCAGACATAGGGTTATATTTTATTTACAGATGTATCTTTATGGTTATTGCACACAAAAGTATTCAGCACCTCCCTCTATGATTCCCACTTTCCCCTGCCATGGTGATTAACCGGGCCACTAAACCAGGCAGTGACCAGCTGTATTTTAGCAGTTGATCACAAGGCAGCAGCATTTTCCTGGATTTTCTGGAAATCCTTTGGAGGTTTCAGATGATAATATTGTCTTCCTGTGGCTAGTTGTTGAAATACAGCCATCTGGTCACTGTAAGCCTTTCAGGATCTATGGCCATGTTCCAGAAGCATTTTCTCCTGACGTTTCGCCTGCATCTATGGCAGGCATTCTCAGAGGTTGTGAGGTCTCTGAGGATGCCTGCTATAGATGCAGGCAAAATGTCAAAAGAGAATGCTTCTGGAACATGGCCATACAGCCAGAAAGGCTTACAGCAACTCAGTGACTCCGGCCATGAAAGCCTTCGACAACACAATACAGCCATTGGGTTGCTGTAGGTTTTTTTGGGCTATATGGCCATGTTCTAGAGGCATTCTCTCCTGACGTTTTGCCTGCATCTATGGCAAGCATCCTTAGAGGTAGTGAGGTCACCTACAACCCAGTGATTCCGGCCATGAAAGCCTTCAACAATACAATACAGCTATTGTTTGCTTTCCTGGCATTCCTTTAGGTACTATATGGCAATGGCAGGGCAACCCAGCAGTAGATCAGTTGGAAGGGTGAAGGAAGTATAATTACATTTACAAGAGCTTTACATTCCATCAATGCAATCCAGGATCTTGGTTGCAGTGAACTAGGCTGAGTGACAAAAGGAATGAATCAGAACTATAAGGCAGAAAACTGGTAAGAAAGGGCACATGAGACCCAGTGTGGTGTAGTGGTTTGAGTGCAATGGCTCTGAGAAACTAGGGTTCAAATCTCTGCTTTGCCATTGAAGCCCACTGGTTACTCTTAGACAAGCCATACTAAGGAAGGTAATAGATAAATTCTTGCCAAGTAAATGCTAAAACAGGATCGCCATTATCTGCCATGACTTGGAAGGCATGTAACAAATAGGGACTGATATGTTAATGCTTAACCTATTGCAGAGGAAGGGAAATAGAGGAAGTTTGGAAAATGTGTTTTCATTCCCATTGAGGGTATTTCTCCCTGTAGTTCTCCAATACAGCTGTGGGAACTACGGAAGACTGCTCGGTCCCTTAGCATAGGCTGAAGTTTTGAACTGGAAAAAGGCAAATGGGGAAAAGGGTGTGTCATAATACTATGCATGCTCCTAAGGAACCTGTAAACAAATAGTAAACATGGGTGCAGAGAAGAAAAGAAGAGGTAGTAGATCCAGATTAACTCTCAACATGGGGAGAAAGCCTGTTTAAAACTGTAGACAAGGTGAAGTGGGTGGTGGAATTGCCAAAACCAATAGTGTTGCATATGTGAAAAGATGCAGTAGTAGGTTGTGATGGGTACCATATGGTTCCATCACTTTAAAGAGTTTCAAAATTATCTGCTGTATTTTCTCCTCTGACTCAGTTTCCTTTGAGTGATTTGATGAGAACCTTTGCTACAAAGGCAAATCCACAGATTGCTCACATCCAGCATTCTACATGGAATTGTGCGAGTTGCAGTACAGCAACATCTGGAGGCAGAATTGTCCACTCATGTTCTTGACTGGAGAGGAGTTGTAACCCACACCATGGCTTTTTTATAGGCCTCGATGTCACAGGATCCATGAATGTCCTTCTCAGACTAGCGAATGGCCAGAAAATAGATGATTTACCACTGAAATCCATCTTAGAACATCTAGGTTAAAGTAGGCACTGTGCTCTCAACAATATCTGAGCAGCCACCTACTCTTGTGATGGATAAGCATGTATATCGAGCATAGGCAAACTAAGGCGCAGGGGTTAGATGCAGCCCCCTGGATGCTTACCTCGGGCTCTCTTCATTTTCCCTGCCCTTTTGGCAGGAGGACACTGTGGCCCACCGCATCCTTAAGCCAAAAAGATGGGGAAGGAAGACATGTAGCAATTGAAAGCCTTCTGGAGCTGTTTTGATCTCATCCCAGCATAAGAACAGTGCAAGCAGCCCCATCTATATGCTAGGAGGACAACTCGAAGATGGCATGCAGCAGTCAAGAGCCCTCCAGAACACTCTCAACCATCACCTGTCTCACCCTCCTCCCAGCATAATTGAGAGGGGCCAGGAAGGCAGATCCATTTTGCCTCCCATGTCATCAATTGGCAGCCCCCGCCCCCTCCAGCGCCAACCACTGCTATGAGATCAGAATGAAGACAGGGGCCAGGAAGGCAGTTCCATCTTGCGTCCAGTGTCATCAGTTCGGAGCCCACCCACCAGTGTCATCAGTTGCGAGCCCCCCCCCCCTCCCAGCACCAACCAATGCTCTGAGATCAGAGTGGAGAGGGACCAGGAAGGCAGTTCCATCTTGTCTCCTGCACTGTGCTTATAATATATTGTATATACATATATATTATAATGTAATACAATATAATACTACTAATAATGTATTATAATTATATATTTTATATTAAATGTAATATTACTAATATTATAGTATAATGTTATAGTACAATGTAATATATAGTATTAATATTGTGCTATGGTAATAATATAATATATTGTATTTACTTTTTACTTGTAAGCCGCTCTGAGTCCCCTTTAGGGTGAGAAGGGCAGCATATGTCGTAAATAAAATAATAAGTACAGCCCAAGGATTGGGGTAGCAGGAGGATTAGTGCAGTTGTCCTGTGTCCTGTCTTCCTCCCATCATAAGGGTAGAGCAAGCAGCCCTGTCCTTATGCTGGGAGGACCACCTCAGGATGACACAGGCCAGGCCCTGCCAGGCCCTGCCCCCTCCCAGTATGTGCCTGGCCCCTCTCCCTCCTGACCCACCCTCCAGGCCTGGCCTGCAATCTGGCCCCAAGAGAAAAATGTTTGCCCATACTTGATGTATATGGACAGTCTACATTGTTCTGGGGAATACATGAGATAGTATCTCCAACAGCTTTAGAAGTGAAAATCCTTTATGAGAAATGGGATCATCGATCAGCTGCTTCCCATCAACAAAAGAGCAGATCCCATAGATTGTAGTGTCTGCTTCCTTGTACACAGGAATCTGTGACTTTCTTCACCCCTAGTTTATGCATCTTTGTGAACATGAAATCATGACAAGCACATCATGACTAGGTTATGAATATGTAACTGCTACTGAAGATCTGGGCTTATTTTAACCAGTAATCCAATGTTTCCTTCTTTGACCATTATTAACTTTATTAAGACATACAATAGCACAAGATAAGGAATCTCTTACAACAGTGCTCAAGAGAGAACAGTCTTTTATTTCAAAAGTGTTTTTAAAAGATAATTCACAGATGGTTTTGCTTTATGCTCCTGCCGACCCTGAAGAATGATGAGGCTCGATTTCTACCTCCTTCAGTACAAAAGCTTTGTTCACAGTTAAGATTGAAGCTTTCACCTAATCATAATTCTATACCAAAAAATGGCGGGCAAGAGGACAGTACTGAGGCAGACTCTCAAAACTCGTAAGTATATGAACTTATATCATTCCATAACCCACTTCTACTTATGGAGCTCTAAAACAACAGTGGGGAGCTTTTTGGCTTAGAACTCTGATCTCATGCCCAGAATAACCATGGGAATTGTAGTTCAAAACAAGCAGAGGGAGAAAAGTTCTCCACCTGTCTATCTAAGAGAACTGATTAGCATGAAGCTTTCTTTTTCTGTCTAAAAAGGGACAGCACTACTCCTAGCAAGAATAGGAAAAATTGCCAGTCAGTTTTGCTCCATACTGCACTTTTTTCTGAATACAAAAGGTTTGCAAGTATTACTAAATTCTTATTAAAAACAAAATGAAATTGATACTTAATTTTACCAATTAATGCACCAATGCCTTGAAATGTGTGTGTGTGACTTATTGCCAAGTCTTTGTTTGGAGACCTGAAAAACATGTTGCCTTTCAAACTGTAGGCTGTGCTTGCCTTTTATTGAGGCACGTCCCACTAAATTTTGGGAATCTGACCCATTATTTTAAAAAATCTAGAAAGGAGCTGCCTGAGAATCTATACCAGTGATTCCCAACCTTTGGACTTCCCAGTGTTTTGGACTTCAGCTCCCAGTTCCTAACCACTGGTAAGCTGGCTAGGATTTCTGCGAGTTGAAGTCCAAAACACCTGGAAACCCAAAGGTTGGGAACCTATAATCTATATTGTATGATGTTACTCTCTCCTAGTCACAGTAGTGCTAGGGCAGACATCTAGACTACAGATTTCCTCCAGAGTGAATTTGTGGCTTATACAATTTTACTCTCTAAAGACGGACAGCCCGACCCACATCCCATAATTCCATTAAAGCAAGAAATATCAATATTTTTTAGACGGTCTAGTCAAGAATATCTCCCACTTGCAGCCTTTCCCACATTTTCCAGTCATCTTTTTTATTACAGTACACAACCGCAAAACGTAATTTTGATTGGTAGCACCAGAAACATCCAACAGCATTCCAGGTTTCTATGGGATGAGAGTTTGGCTTGCCTTTCTCAACTTTTATAAAACTAGAAAGTTGGGAAAATCCAGCCCCAAACTTCTTGAGTCTGTTGAAAAGACTTCCGAAGGACTTCTCATGAAGATCAACAATGGCAAAATTAATTCAAATTCTACCCACACCAAGGTTACATTATTCTTCCTAAGGATGTTCGCTGGTATTATATTTCGGACCCAGGCCTAGTGGATAGTTTCATAATTCCATACCCAGTAGAGGACTGTTGTTACATTACTATGACGCAGACCTAGCAAAGTGACCAATATAGAACCGGACCAATTTACATTGAATACCCTTGCCTGTGTCCCGATACATATCTCTGCAATTCACCAACATGATTTCTCAGTGCCACTGCTACATAGCCATGTATATGTAAAGTGTTGTAACATGAGTCAATGATATAGGATTCTGACCACTATTCAGAAAAGGCAACGGACAGACAGAAGACAGTTTTGTCATGTGAAGGCAAGAAGGAGGTGGCATCAAAGTACTTCATCTAAGGCACTTCTTTGTCCTGCAGAAGGACTACCAGTATTCATCTGAAGAATTTTGATGCCTTAAAAAGCTCTTGAGTGCCAATCCTCAGGTAGCCAAAAGTGGTGCCCAGAAAAAAGAAGTTATGAGGTAAACAACCTTCAAAGGCAAGGAGACAAAAACTCGGTCAGCATGGATTGACCACTGACTGGTGAGGAAAAAGCAACAGACTGGCTGGAATTGAGACTACCACAGTATTGTGTGGGATCTGATGTCCAAGGGCCGCTCTGGGAGAAACTAAAGCCTCCCAGATGTTCCCAGATTCCAGCTCCCATAAGCCCCAGGTAGCACAACCAACAATCGGGGTGATGGGAGCTGTTATCCAACAACATCCGGTGGGCTACAAAGTCCCCCACAAAAATATAGAGAAGTAATTTCACCACCCTCCCCGCCTGACCTCATCCCATTTCTCCCATTGACCCCCCAGCCTAGCTACTATAAGGTAGGCTCATTGGATTAAGGCACACCAAAATGGAAGCCAACAGCAACTTCAGTTAGACAGCACATCTGAGGATTCGGACACCAGCTTCCCATCTCGGGTCTCGATCTTCTTGATGACAATGGCTTTCGACTTGGTTACTACTGAGCTCTCCAGGGGAGAGGAATTCATGGAGTATCCACCGCTTGAGTACGAGCTGAATCCACTCCCATAGCTACCATATCCACTGCTCAGACCACCTGGATGGGATAGAGAAAACCCATTGGACACAGAACAGTGTTTTCTACATCACAACACCTGGTGCAGCTAAAAACACCAGATCAAAACCAGCAGAAGATGTCATTCTTGAAGTAAGATCCACGTGTATTTTCTTAGTCGTTTTTCTAATTTTAGCTGAGCCTCCTATCTATCATTTGGCCAAGGCTCAGAGATGGGATCTTGATCTAAGACAGAGGTGGACAACCTTTTAGTCTTTTAGATGGTACTGCAATTTCCATCACCCCACACCATAATGGCTAGAAACTTGACCAACATTAAGTTTGCCATTCATTTTATATGCAATTTCAGGCTCTCAGTCTAATTACCTCCTCTTCATTTTGCCCTTTCAGATAACGACCCTATACTACAGGCACTGGCAAACTTCAGCACTCCAGGTGTTTTGGATTTAATTCCTAGCTTCAGGCCCCTTCCTTTCCCCCCTCAGCCACTTAAGTGGCTGAGAGGGAAAAGGAATGGCCTGAGGCCAGGAATTTTGCGAGTCGACGTCTAAAACACACGGAGGGCTAAAGTTTGCCAGTGTCTGCTATACTAGGTATGGGCAAACTTTTGCCCTCCAGGTATTTTGGACTTCAACTCCCAGAAATCCCAACCAGGAGTTGAAGTCCAAAACATCTGGAGAATCAAAGTTTGCCCATGGTTGCTCTACACTCATAAAGGCAGAGACAAACACCCATGAGAAACATGTAGGGCTTGGAAACTGCACTTTTTCTGGTCTATGTTTTCAAGAATCTCTCAGCTAGCTAGTCCAATGGCCACAGAGTGCTGGGTGCTCTAATCCAAAAAAAGGTAATGTATCCAAGCTCTGCAAATTTTCAACATATATCTGGACTGCCATCCTTTTCAACTACACACATATTTAGGGTTGATACTTGTTTAAAGGTAATAAGTACCATATTTACTTGAGTGTAATGCACCATCAAGTGTAATATTAATGCACCTCAAGAATAATTATTCAACAGAAGATTTTATAAGTGTCTGTTGAATAATGTTAAACACAAAACTGAAGGGCCTGGGGGGGGGGAGTAAGTTCCCCCCCCCCTCTCTTTTCAAACTTAAAAACAGTCCTGTGGCTCTTTACCAATCAAGTGCTAAACATGCTTACCAGAATAACCAGTTGTTTTGGTCTGAATGCTTAGGTTCTGCATTCCTGACTCCAACCTAGGCAGGAGAGGGGACAAAATAAAAATATCCAATCAGCATTGCAGTTACGGAAAAGACAGATAAAATCTTAGTACTAGAAATAAACAACAGCAAGCAAAGAGAAAAGTCAGTTCATCTCAATGTCCCAGCAAACGTGTCCTAACTGCAGCATATGCCACAGAGTGAAATTAGCTGGAGGCCAAGTTTTCTTAAGTTACAAAAGCATTGAAATGTGAACAAGAGTCTGAGAATTCTTGTGCAAAGAGGGAAACTTTCTAAGCCTGACCATCACCCACCGGCTCTCCTCTCCTTCCAGCAGCTTCCTGTAGGTGGCAATCTCAATGTCCAAGGCCAACTTGACATTCATCAGTTCCTGGTATTCCCGCAGCTGCCGGGCCATGTCCTGCTTGGCTCTTTGGAGGGCACCCTCCAGCTCAGACAGTTTGGCCGTGGCATCTTTCACGGCCAGCTCCCCACGTTCCTCTGCTTCTGCAATGGCAGCTTCCAGGTTGGCACGCTATATAGGAGAGGGAAAGTGTAGAAGAAAGTTAATCTTGGGAGTGCGCCTCCCAGAATTCTTCCTTTAAGCAAGATAGATGGGAGATTAGGAGAGTTGTAGCCTGAAAAAGTAACTTCTCCAAGCTGAATAAGATACAGTGGATGAGAGGTAAGACAAGATAATTATTTTTGAGCTGTGGGAACTAGAAAAGGTGTGTACTGCCTTTTTCTGCCATCAGAAATTTACAACTACTAGAAATATACTGGCTACAACTAATACAACACTGAAGTATTTGTGTAGCTTTTTCTGGGTGAAGGGAAAGGTCTATAATAAACTTTAATTATACCCCGCCACCATCTCCCCCAACGGGGACTCAGGGCAGCTATGCTTTTTTGTATTTTACATATTCTGTTGTTTGTAGGTTTGTCTTTTTGTTGAATAAAAATTCACACACACCCCAGATTACTGGACTCCAGAATAATGTACCAGCTAGACCTGGCACGAGCAAACTTTGGCCCTCCAGATGTTTTGGACTTCAACTCCCACAATTCCTACAGCCCATGCCTGAGCTAGACCCCATTGTGACTCTCAAAGCCAGTGGTAACCAAATCTATTAATGTCACATTCATCCCTTGCCTGTCAGTTTCCCTACCTCTCTTCCTTCTTTGCTACTATCAAAATACAGATTATGCAGGGACCTGTCCCTTTTGTTTAAATAAGCATTTAAGAGTGCTGTTAATACAGGTGCTGCTGCATCCATCACAAACAAGCTTCCCAGTGTTGAGTCACTGTTTCCTAACCTGGCCTTTCAGCCCATCGATTTCCGACTGTATCCGGGTGATGAGCCTGTTGAGCTCATTGATTTCATTCTTGGTGAGGCGGAGGTCATCGCCATGTTTGCCTGCCACAGTCTGGAGCTCTTCATACTACAGAGTGGAGAAAAAAGGAGAAAAAAGTTGCATGCACATTAGGAAAACCTTATGAGATGGTAGCCAGCAATCAAGACTGGAGCTGGAAAATGACAGAGAGCAACAAATGAATGCCTTTGCAGACTTGCATAGAAAATGCCGTCTCTGTGTTATTATGCCTTTTATGAATTACATAGAGGGCAAATGGGGTGGGGAGCTTTCGTCGCTTTAGATGTAGATGATCCACCACTTCCATTGTGCTTCATCGTTGGTCAGGCTGACAAGATTTGTTGGAAAAGGGATTCAACAACTACAGTGTCTTACATTCCCCAGAGCTGACTACAGACCAGCAACAGGTATAGGAAAATAGATACACAGTCTCATTCTCTCTCATTCATTAACAATGGAAACCTCTTCTGCAGAGAATGAATTTTGAATGAATGGTTTTTTGTCCCAGCCATAGGATATGACAATATATAATATAAAACCTTTAAAAGTATAATAAGCAATCCCTTGTCTTTGATTTAACTTTGGGTTCATATGTTTCCAATATAAACATTAAAACTTACTCCCTATACTGGCTCTTTAAAATTACAGTAGCAGTGACATAATAACAAGTGTCTGATTTGTATCATCCCAAACTATCTCCATTTCTATTTCTAGCCTCCACTGTGGACTTTACTAATTTAGCTCGTTTTTTTTGGGCTGCGACTGTAAATGTGACAACTTTTAATGCTATATTTTTGGAATAATCCACTAACAAGTCACAGCTAACCGCTGACTGTTGCCATGCTGCTCTTTCTTCCAAAAAGGCTCACAGAAGATTGTTTCCAGGCTCATTATACAAAGGGCAATGTAACAGATAATGTTCCACAGAGAAAGAGTGTGCTTCAGAATGCAGGTTTTCAACCTGGAGTCCTGTAGATCGTTTGGACTTCATCTCCCACAACCCATGCCAACAGGGGCTTTGGAGTACTAGAGTCCAAAGTACCCTTAGGACAAGAAGTTGAGAACTACTGACACAGGGAGGTGAATCTGGGGAGCACATATGAACCCAAAGTTAAATCAATGACAAGGGATGAGCCAAACTGCTTGAACAAAAACAAAGTCTCCTTTCCTCCTCCTCCTCCTCCTAGTTAAATCTGCTTCAGTGCAGCTGTTCTCCAAATTACCACGAAAAGATGCAGTGCAAATCTAATAAGCATCTCTGTGTGCGGTCTTACCATCATTTCCGTCCCTTTGAAAAAAAGAGTTGGTATACTGGAATGGAAATGAGTCGTAATCGAGGAAGTACTTCCTAAATTTCAATTTAGCTACTAATTTTCTCCAATGGCCCCAGGCAAGACAATATCTCTCAGCCCTGCCTTTCTGCATCCAGAACACAAAGAGAACACTAACACAAGACTGCTGTCGCTGAGATAATGTATTGGCTCTATGGAATGCCCCAAGCAGAGTGCTCTGGGCCAAGTCCCAACAATTAGCATGATAGATGTCAAACGGTAGTTCTGCCCAACCCTTTCGAGGGTTACAGTTCACCAAGATAACAGATTAAGGCACTGTAATACTTCTTCCATCTGCATCCAACAGTGACTAAGGTGAACAGTCTGGGGGTTGCACAAGCATGTAAATCTGGCCCACGCAAGTACAGATTTTCATAAAGATTAGAAGGTAAAGGTTTCCCCTTCTGCAAATTGAAATTTAGGAACTGTCTGAGACCAGGGTGAAATCCCCCCCCCCCCCCAGCAGTTTCCATTGAGGTTATCATGGCAGTGATACTAAGAATGTTCACTTGGCTATGGGTTTAACAATGTTTCATCATGCAATTTGTTACCTCTGCTTAAACCAAATCATCAGTTTCAAGTTTCTTGGTCATTCAGGGTTTAACTTTTTCCCCTCTTTGGAAAAAAAATCATTTTACTTCTACACTGCTATGAGAACAACCAGTGTCACTGACCACATCTCATCAAGGGGGAGTAATGACGCAGCAATTTATTTATTTACTACATTTATATACTGCTTTTCTCCCCGAGGGAACTCAAAGCGGTTTCCAACATTATAAAGGCAAAATTCAATACTGTACATACATGTGAAAACCAAAAAATAAATAAATAGCAAGACAATAACATATAACTATAAATTAACCTAAACAAATTAAAACATAAAAGAACATTTAGACATAAAGCATAAAATTAATCAATAATATAACATTTATATTAAAACCCACCAATAAGATGATTTAAAACAGTTATTAAAATCACGCCATCCAAAATCAAGTCTGTAGTCACTCCATTGGTCCATTCACTATTTCTTATTATCTTATTGCACTACAAGCTTTGCTGTCCAAAAGCTTGGTCACATAACCATGTTTTTACTCTCTTCCTGAATGTCAGGAGGGAGGGGCTGATCTAATTACATTGGGGGGGGGGGCAGTTCCATAGCCAAGGGGCCACCGCTGAGAAGGCCATGTCTCTCGTCCTCACCAGTCACTCTTCCTTAGCCGAGGGGGCCACCACTAAAAAGGACCTGTCTCTCGTCCCCATCAGTCACGCTTGCGAGGAAGGTCTTCTACAATCTACCCACTACGGATTTAGTAGACCGATTTAATCTATGATTCCATACGGACAACGGGGTGGCATTTCAAATCATGAATAACTAAAATGACCAATTAAAAAGTGAATTTATTTGGAAACATTGCCTTTGGGCTACAATTTCAAAAAAAAAAGTATGCCTCCAAATTCTGAAAAGTAATATTAGGGTTATGATGGAGAGTGTTCGAAAAACCACATCCATAAGAATCAGAATGGGTGGCAACCTGCATCAGTACACCCCGTTCACTTTGAGAAACAATGGGTGGAGGGGGTAGGGAGAAGCAGCTCACCTTGGTCTTGTAGGTGCTCTCTGCCTCGGCCCGGCTCCTGGCAGCCACTTCTTCGTACTGTGCTTTGACTTCAGCAATGATGCCATCCAAGTCCAGGCTGCGGTTGTTGTCCATGGACAGGATCACGGAGGTGTCGTTGATCTGAGACTGCAGGACACGCAGTTCCTGCATTGAAGGCAAGAGAGAGTCCCAAATTCTGAAGAGTCACCACCAAGAAGCTAGGTGCCCAAAGGAACCAACAGTAGTCTCAAAATATATCTGACACAAGAGATGAGGCTTAGAAACTTGACGTCTCTCCTAATGCCAGATCTCCAGAATGTTTCACCCACTAAGATCCAATTTCAGCCATTCCTTTCTCTGTCACCCCAAATACATCTTCACTGAATTTTCCAGGGCCTTCTTATTAGTGGTTAAAGCAAACCTTCCAAGAGCTGAGCATGAATAAGCAAAGCAAAGCATGTTGCCAAGCAGGGACTACACACCTGGTAACATGCTGCCTAATAAGATTCAGTGCTAACCTGAGCGGCAAGGAATACAAAGGCAATATTACACTTCTTCCAAGGAAGCCTTCTTTGCACAATGGGAACACAAAAGCTGTATAATTAATTTGCTTTTACAAAATTACAATTAGGTCTATGATTTGATTGAACATGAACATTAAACGTATAATTCTTGAGTGGACTTGTGAAATCTGGAGAAATCCAAAGAGTTATCTGTACCATAAATATTCATCTGCCCTCATTCTCAATGCTCAATGAAGATTCAAAATCTGGACTAGTCAGCTTTTGTACGTGGAACAAGAGAATGGCAGGTGCCACCTTGTTCTTTGCTTCGATGGCTCCATTCATAGGTTTTAGGAGACCGGACTTTGAAAAGACAAGGCTTACCTCTTCGTGCAATTGTCTCAGGAAATTGATCTCATCGGTTAGGCTTTCCAGGCGGGATTCCAGCTCGATCTTGTTCATGTAAGCTTCGTCCACATCCTAAGGGAACAAAGTCCAAAACACCAATATAATAGAAATCTCTATGAGGCCCTCCCAATAATTAGCCAGCAAGAACAAGTGCGTTCTCGCTCACCTTCTTCAGCAAGACAAAATCATTTTCCCTCTCTGTGCGGTGGTTGATTTCATCTTCATACCTGTTAGGAAACAGGAACACAAATTATTAGTTTACAGGAAACAAACCAACAAGACTTCATTCGTACCAGGGTTAGACTAGATACACTCTTGAACTGACTGAATGGTTTTCTATTCAGTGGAGCTTATTCTCACATTATGTAGAATTGCAGCCTTTCTTTTGGGAATTTCCCTCCTGGCATGAAAAAGCATGACAGCAAATCTCAACAGCCAAAGAAGTTTTCTTTAAAGCAATAGCTGCTGGCTGCATTGAAAAACAAAAAGGAAGGAAACCCCTGGGTAACAAACAATGTTCTTATACTCATAGGAACCTTATCTCTTCTACAAAGGATTGCTTTTAAAATGCTATATTGGCAAGAGAAGAAAGACGATGAAGCAGCTGCCTTGTTTTCTCACATCCGCACACCAGCCACAGTTTCTGCTTTAAAAGTTCCTATAATGCACTGTTTCTTTCAATATGTCACTGCTTATCAGTGTTGGTGCATTTCCATGGGCAGGTTCCCAGAACGAACAGAAAAGTCACAGCATTTAGAATATGTAAAGCATGAATTCAAGGAGAGCAAGGCCCACAAGAATGAAACTAAATCATAGTTTCAAGAGCTTTACTGCCCTTTAGAGTAGACTGAATCACCCAACTATAAGACCCCAAGAATCCTACAACAGCCAAGACATTTCCTTTCAGAAGTCCCAGGTTTAGTTTTTTCGAGTCAGGAGCGACTTGAGAAACCGCAAGTCACTTCTGGTGTGAGACAACTGGTCATCTGCAAGGATGTTGTCCAGGGAGTGCCTGGATGTTTGATGTTTTACCATCCTTGTGAGAGACTTCTCTCATGTCTCCGCATGGGGAACTGGAGCTGACAGATGGGAGCTCACCTTGCTCCCTGGATTTGAACCACCGATCTTCAGTCAGCAGTCCTGCCGGCACAAGGATTTCACCCACTGCGCAATCGGGGGCTCCAGAAGTGCCAGTGAGTTCAATGGGACTGACTGTACTTTCACCAATTTATACAGAACTGTACTCTCACAATTCATGTTTACAGACCAACCAATATTAGAGGTGGCTGCATAAAAACATACGGGTCTACTCCTTTAATGGCTGTACTGTAAAGTTCCTTTTATCACCATAAACCAGCCCTGAGATTTCTACATATATGTGGGACAAATGTTTAATGCATTAAAATAAGCTTTAAAATTTCACAATTATTTCAAATAAGTAAAAACAACAAAGAACTCATCTACTCTCAAAGTCACAGATACAACTCCAGTTGTACATTGAAAAGACAGAATACACAATGCCTAGATTTGGGGAGAGCATAAAAATTTGGCCCATAAGGCCCAATGTTTTTCTTTTTTGGACTATGACTTTGAGAATTACAAGAGGGGGATTTGGAAGTTGAAATTTGAAGCAATACATTTTGAAAACTCTGGATCTGAGTATTTGGAAAAGGGTAACTAGAATGTCCGACTGTGACTTTCCATTTCAGCATTTTAGTTTTTGTCTGTGATTTGGTGTTCAGGAATCCAACCCCACCCCCCTCACCCCCAGGACCCTTCACAGTAATCTTGCTCATTTTAAACCATTCCATTTTAAATCATATTCTTCCAGACTCATTTTATTACCTTATTCCTCTTCACTGCAGATAGCAAGTGATTTGGAGGGGAAATTCAATAAATGTATTTTGAAAGCATATGGGAAAGGCAAGAGACAACGATCTTGTGTTGGTGCGTACTTAGGATGGACCTAACAGACAAAAGTACTAAACATCGCTATCATCCTCCTCGAGGTCATTCTTTGAGGTACATGTGCCTTGAAACGTGTACCCTCAACAGCGAATCTGCTTTCATCATGTACATCATCCCATCACTAGTACTGAGATAAAATTCCACTCTTAAGCCCAGTTGGTTAACTCATGTAAAACAAGTTAAAGTGCAGCAACATTACTTTAGCCAGCACTGCTTCTCTAGGACTCATAGGTACCTTCTCCACCCCAGTCCAAATCTCAGGAAAGCTGACAACCCTACTAATAATATTCCCATTTTCTTAAAGTGAAATGGGGAGCCTTTTGACCCTCCAAATGTTTATCTTCCATCTCTCAGAAGCCCCGCTCAACATGGCTAATGGTAACAGACACCAGGTGGTTTCGTCCCAAAAACTAGAAGGCCAAACCTTCCCTGTCCTAGCTGAAGAGAATGTTTCCACACACTGCCTGTGTGCGTCAGCCTCATTTAAAAATAGTCCAGACAGTTGTAAGACAGGTTAGTTCACCCAACTTACGGGCGCATGGCTGCAACTGTAACCCTACTGGGTACAAAGAGAACAGCAAGTTCGAGTTTTTAGTAGTGCACTCATGGCTGAAGAACAGGCATGGCCCAAAGCTGCCACGTGTGGAATTGTGACTGGGCCATTCCAGGTTTTTACAGCAATGCCCTCCCTCCCTTTCCTCAAAGACTTCCAAAGGAAAACAGTACTGCTTGTTTAAGGTTTGGGGTTATATATTTTCCAATATCTCTCCAAAATCTCCAGTGCAAACATAGGCCTGGAAATAATAATTTAAAAGGCATGAGTGCCAAGTAAAATATAAACCTGCCTCTTAGGAAGTAAGTCCCGTTGAGTTCCACAAGTCTTTACTTCCAGCTGAGTTGCAGTTTTATAAGTTTGCCTGAGATATTTTTCCTTTTTTCCCATTTTTTCTGAGTGGAAGGATATGTCTGTCCTCAAACACCTTTTAAAATGAAGGCTGTTGTGTGGGTATGCACACCTTCAAATTCCATATTCCAAATCCGGTTGACTTATGAAGACCCCATTAATTCCATAGGGGTTTTAAGGCAAGAAATACTCAAGAGTTGTTTTGCAAATTTCTTCTTCCAAATTTTAACATGGAGCACCTGGTATCCACTTGAGGCTCTCCCATCCATGGATGAACCCATGGCTATCCATGCTTAGCATCCAGTGTCAGTTAGAATCTGATGCCTTTCAATTACATCTCTATTGATCAAGTCATAAGGGTAAAAACAAAACATTGTGGGGGAAATTGACACAAGCCTAACCAATTTTAAGGGAAGGCTGGGAACAACCCAAAAAATCTATGAGGACAAATATCTTTGACTTTATCAGAACAATAAAGCAATGCAATACTTTCAGAAAAGCAAACGCCACACCTGATTGCTGGGTGGATATGGAACATCCACAGATAGGATAGGCTTAGCTTAGTTTAGTACTATTTATTCAGATAAGATAAAGTGGCCTTCCAGTTCCCCTGCCCAACTTACTTAGACTTGAATTCTTCTACAAGGCCTTGCATGTTGCCCAGCTCAGAATCCAGCCTGGTCCTCTCCTGGCCCAAGCCTTCCAGTTGCCGACGCAAATTGTTGATGTAGGCCTCAAACATACTGTCCATGTTGCTTCGGGTGATCTTCTGGTTCTGCAGGAGGCTCCATTTGGTATCTAGCATCTTATTCTGCTGTTCCAGGAAGCGGACCTGATGAGAGAACAAAGAAAAGTCCATATTTGGCAAGAAAAAGTCCCATTTTGGCCTGAAAATGTGAAGCTTCTGCTAGAAACAAATGAATTAGGACATTCATATCTAGACCATGGAGAGGGACACACAATAGTCCCATAACTCAGAGCTATGAAAGAAATACAGCCTAGAGGAGTGCTTCCCAAGCTTTGGTCCTCCAGGTGTTTTGGACTTCAGATCCCACAATTCCCAACAGCTGGTAAAAGGGCTGGGATTTTTGGAAGTTGAAGTCCAAAACAATGGGAGGACCAAAGGTTGGGTTAGGGACAGGAAACAGATAATGGATTTCTGGGAGATGTTTAGCTTCTCCACAATATACAGACATATTTTTGAAGCAACTGTTGACTCTGGCAAAACAGGTTTCTCAAGCAGCACAAAATTCCATCATCCTTATTTGAAAGAATCAGGAATAGTTGGTTTATGCACCACTTTGGAGCTTGAGAAGTTATCTTTGAGACTATAGTTGCCAAAATCATTCAAGTAACATGGGCTCTACAGTTTCTCTCCCCCAAAAGCCACTTTCTCAAAACAACTAACACAATCGTCCTTCTTTGGTTGTCTTAAACTATAATATATTCCCAAGTAATTACAGCTATCACAGAAAACCAGAAGACAATGATAGGATGTGGTTAAGGGTGTGTGTAAACATATGCACACATACAATGTACTTTAATATTTGTATGTTTAAGGGTGTGACATAAAGGGTTTAATTGATTTATAATTTTAGGCTCATGTTTCAATGTATTTACATTGTTTTATTTTCCATTGTTTTAATTTGTATTGTGTCATAATTATTGTTAGCTACCCTGGGAGAATAAATGAATAAATCAATAACATATGGATGTATGCACAGTGTTTTAATTTGAAGCACGCCTAGCCAATTCTAAAACTTTAAACCTGTTTGTAATAGCAGACAAGATTTGCAGGAGCAGCCCTGCCACATGGCAACTGTGGTGGAGAAAGTACCTCTGAGGTTGTACAGAGTGTGCTTTCTAACTATAAATCACCAAACTCTGTATTAATTTGAGAAGAGGCATGCAATACTGTAGTGGCTGTTAAAAATACATGTTCACAACAAGGCTATGTTTCCTTAGTGGCACGAAAAAAATCTACTTTTTAATGAAGACACAGTGTACTATGTATGGTTCCTGTATTTGGAGAATAGCAGGATAAAAATAATTTGGGGAGGGCGGACAACACAAGAGTTGGGTGTAATAATACTTAACAGTTCCAGTAATGTTTACTAGTAAGCTATAGTGCAGGCATGGGCAAACTTTGACCCTCTGGGTATTTTGGACTTCAACTCCCAGAAATCCCAGCCAGCTTACTGGCTATTAGGAACTGTAGGAACTGTGGAAGTTGAAGTCCAAAACACTTGGAGGGCTGAAGTTTGTCAATGTCTGCTATAGTGGTTGGTTAAAATCTCCCAAGAGGTACTGCATGACACCTGAACATTAGGAGCAATCCTTATCCCTTCTGTATTATATTAATAGCATTAATAACTACATGAGTTGTTCCTGGCACCACACAGTCACCCTATGGGGCACAAGGAAGTGCCACACCTGATCTCTAAAATGTTCCTGGTTGTGTTTGCCCCAGGCTCTTTTGTGGTTAAAGCGGGATCCTGAGAATTGAAGGCTATGCACCTTTTAATAGAGGAATTATAGTTAAAAGGTCAGAGGAGCCCCACCTCTCTTGCACTCACGTTCCCCACACTGTCTTCTTAGCAACCTTCACTTTAGTAATAACAGCAAGTGAAAGAAGATTTAAGGCAATGAATTGACCCGGGCTGGACTTTGGATTCTGGATTCTGATTTTAACAGGTGTGCTTTAATCAATTGTTTAATTACTGTTTAATATTTAATGTATTGCTGATTGTTTTTATGATGTTGCTTTTGTGAGGCCGCCCTGAGTCCCCCCTCAGGGGTGAGAAGGGCGGGGTAAAAATATAGGAAATAAATAAATAAATTCTCAAGTCTGCCATGAACATCAACCAGATTTCTATTCAGACATTCATTCTCTTTTGGATGTTTTGTGGGCTCCTTACCACCAGGCATGGAGAAGCCTGGCCCATCTGGCCCTTTCCAAGCCTGTGCTTTGTTAACTGGGGTTGGGACTTACATCTCAGTTAGCCAAAACATTTTACAAAATCCACGAAAGAGAAGCATTTCCACTGCCCAAAGCAGCCATTTTTCTGCATTTCAGGGTGGATCTACTCTGCAGAAATAATGCAGCTCGATAGTACTTTAACTACCATGGCTCAATTAACAGGATCATGGGAGCTTTACAAAAGCTTCTGCAAGATTGCCAGTGTCTCACTAAACTGCAACACCATGAGCCACAGCAAAGTGGTGCCAGACTGCATTAATTCTACAGTGTAGATACCCCTCCTCCCCATATTATACATACAATACTGTATGGAGAATGCTAGTATAGAAGCACTGGAATGATGAACTGCAAGGGAGTACCTATCCAGACCAAGGAAACAGGTGTCTGAATCACTCTTAATTCAGGTCTTTATAGCAGGGATACAAGTGGAATTCCTGTTTGGCATGAAGCTACTGGTTACTTCCAAAGTTTGGTGAAGTCATGGGGGAGGCCTACATCTTCCAAATCCCCCAGTGTTGGTTGGGAGTCTAGGAAATGTAGCCTAAGACAATAGCTTTATCAAACTTTGTAATGGACCTGTACCAATCCAGCCAGGCCTTTAGCAAGGAAAACAATTTACAGTAAAGAAGAAAATGAGTGAGTCGAAGGAAAATTAGTAGTGTACACTCATGAACATACATGCATGCATACACACCCTTCCAAATCTCTGGGCGTAATTATTGCCTGAGTGGCTCACATTAGTTTTGTCGGCTGCACTTGTGCACCAACCAAACTGCTTAGGACCTTTGACCAGTGTGTCAGCAAAAAAAAAAAAGGGGGGGGGGAGATGAGACTTTGGGCAATGGCTAAAACATGGCTATGGCAATGTTTTGGGCTTTGCAGTCCAATAAGACCTTGGAGCTCTCTGGCTGAGTACTCTAAAAACACTTTCCCAAACTGCAAATCCCAGTATTCTATATGGAGCTTTCCAGTTAGCCCCAACTGTGGGGCATGACATTCAACTGTCACTTGCTGAAGCAGTGACAAAAATGTCTCTTTGCCTCAAACGGAACTGTTTAATGCATAGAATGGTCCTAAAAATGCCCCCCCCCCACCCACCCAATAGATCTACTGAGAGTAACCAATAGAAAACCTTTTGAGTGCATCTACACTGCAGCATGCCCCCACTTTAAAGGCCATGCCTCAATGCCATAGAATGAGACGGAGTTGTACTTTTACAAGGTCTTTCACCTTCTATGCCAAAGAGCTGTTGTGCCTCACCAAACTACAATGCTCAGGATCCCAACAGCACTGAGCATTTAAAGTGGGGTCAAATGGCAGTGTAGGGATACCTTTAGCTTTTCAACTGAGAGGCGTGAACTCAATGAGCTTTCCCAGCTGCATGGAATTGTGTGGACTCTGTGGGTCTCCTCTAGCTGAGACTAACCACATTATAGGAGCCCCCCGGTGGTGCAGTGGGTTAAACCCCTGTGCCGGCAGGACTGAAGACCAACAGGTCGCAGGTTCGAATCTGGGGAGAGGCGGATGAGCTCCCTCTATCAGCTCCAGCTCCTCATGTGGGGACATGAGAGAAGCCTCCCACAAGGATGATAAAAACATCAAATCATCCAGGTGTCCCCTGGGCAACGTCCTTGCAGACGGCCAATTCTCTCACACCAGGAGTCACTCCTGACACGACAAAAAAAAAACCAAACAACCACACTATAAAGATCTAGGGTCAGTCTTTTCTTTCGTTCACCACTAGTGGGTACTTTCCTCTCCCCAGACAGCTTTGATGGCGCTCAATAACAAGTTTGGATCGGACTCCTTGTTCCCTGGGGGAGAAGTGTAACTGCACTTACCATTTTCCTGGGAGGGATCTTCCTGGAAACCCCACCTTTTCTAACCCAAGGTGATCTCCTCACCAGGCAGTGAACCAAAGTCTCCCAGATCCCACCTACGTCCCAGATCCCCTGCACACTTCAAACATGTTTAACTCAAGAATGACTCCACATTTGCTTGGCCAACTCCCTCCACCCTCCATTTTAAAGCAGCTAGAAACTCAGGCTGTATCTACACTGCCCTATATCCCAGGATCTGATCCCAGGATATCAGGTGGTGTAGATCCAACTGGCATGGGTTTCAGGCTGCAGTTCCCATCATCACGGACTCCCTGCTAGGATGGCTGGGATCTGTAGTCCAACTCCAAACCAGCCTTGGAGTCTCCTGTCGGTTGACTTATTGGGGTTTTATGTATTTCATAAGTTTTTCTTAAGCAAGGAATATTCAGAGTTGGCTTTGCCAGTCCCCGTTTCTGAGATACAACCTACAGAACTATGGATTTGCTTTTTGACCTCCCAGCCAAGTACTAACCAAGACCAACCCTGCTTAGCTCCCTAGGTTAGACAGGATCAGGTCCCTTTAGGGCAAATATCTGGATTATGTGACAGTGTGAAATCAGATAATAATAATAAACTTTATTTATACCCCACCACCATCTTCCCAACGGGGACTCGAAGCAGCTTACATGGGGCCAAGCTCAAATATAACAGTATAAATTGCAATAAAATAAACAACATTAAAATGATAATACAGTTCAAAGCAGATATTGTGGATTATCTGCCTTGATATTCTGGGTTATATGGATGTGCAGAAGGGCCAATGGTGCATAATTAAAATAGAACTATTTAGAACAATTAAAACTAAACATGACACTCATCAAAAAATAAAAAAGCCAAAACAGGACACAGCACCTCTTTTGCTCCTTGACCTTGGACTGAATTTGGCTTTGACGGGAAACTTGTTGAGACTGGTCTCCTTTTGTGCTTTTTTATTGTTTATGTGATTTATATTAATTGTATTGTATTGATTGTTTTTTATTGCTTTTGTTTATTGATGTTCTGTGGGCTTGGCTTCATGTAAGCCGCACCAAGTCCCTTGGGGAGATGGTAGCGGGGTACAAATAAAGTTTATTATTATTATTATTATTAAAAATCCTCATATAGACCCCATTTATATATAACTTTACTAAAGTGTGTGCCACCAACTGGGGAATGAACGGGCTTCGGTCCCACTTGAATAAAGGCTCAATGCGAGGGAGTCCTGGGAGGCCCCAAACCCGCTTCTGCAGGGGAATCTGCACCTCCCGAGTCAAAAGCGCATTCCAACCCCCCTGGGCGTCGGGCTCACCTTGTCGATGAGGCTGGCGAACTTGTTGTTGAGGGACTTGATCTCCTCCTTCTCCCTGGTCCGGATTTGCTGGATGGCGGGGTCGATCTCCAAGTTGAGGGGCGCCAGGAGGCTCTTGTTGACGCTGACTGCTGTGATGCCGCCGCCACCTCCGCCGAGGGAGGCCGAGGAGGCCCCTCGGAAGCCGACTCCACTCCCCAGGCGGCTGCCTCCATAGCTGGAGGAGGCGTAGGAGGTGCTGATACGGGAGCTCCCCACCACCGGGCTCGGGGTGTAAGAGCGGCTGCTGAAGCTGCGGACCGAGGAGCGCTTCATGCTGTTGCTGGTGGTGACGGCGACGGCAAAGTAGAGGAGACCGACTAAGCACTGCTTTCGCGCTCAGGAGAGGACTGAAGGGGAAGGCGCCCCGTGTGCCCCTTATATAGGGTGCGGCCGGAGGGGCGTGGCTTAGCGCTGAGGAACCATCGAAAGGCGGCTCCTGATTGGCTGAGCGCGAAGCTCGAGGAGGGGACAAAATGGCGCCCGTCCCCTTTTACCTGTTTTCCTTGGTCTCGCGCCTCTTTTAACTCTTCCTCAGCTGAGGAGGGAAAACGCCCCTCAAGGCCTTTCCACACAGCCACATAGAATCATAGAATCAAAGAGTTGGAAGAGACCTCATGGGCCATCCAGTCCAACCCCCTGCCAAGAAGCAGGAATATTGCATTCAAAGCACCCCTGACAGATGGCCATCCAGCCTCTGTTTAAAAGCTTCCAAAGAAGGAGCCTCCACCACACTCCAGAGCAGAGAGTTCCACTGCTGAATGGCTCTCACAGTCAGGAAGTTCTTCCTCATGTTCAGATGGAATCTCCTCTCTTGTAGTTTGAAGGGATTTTTCCGCGTCCTAGTCTCCAGGGAAGCAGAAAACAAGCTTGCTCCCTCCTCCCTGTGGCTTCCTCTCACATATGGCTATCATATCTCCTCTCAGCCTTCTCTTCTTCAGGCTAAACATGCCCAGCTCCTTAAGCCGCTCCTCATAGGGCTTGTTCTCCAGATATCAAGGCAAAAAATCCACAATAAATGCTTTGAACTGGGTTATCTGAGGGCTCTTCCACACAACCATATAACCCAGAATATCAAGGCAGAAAATCCCACAATATCTGCTTTGAAGTGGGTTATCTGAGGGCCCTTCCACACAGCCCCGAATCCAGAATATCAAAGCAGAGAATCCCACAATATCTGCTTTGAACTGCGTTATCTGAGGGCCCTCCACACAGCCCTGTATCCCAGAATAGCAAGGCAAACAATCCCACAATATCTGCTTTGAACTGCGTTATCTGAGGGCCCTCTACACAGCCCTGTATCCCAGAATAGCAAGGCAAACAATCCCACAAATAAAACCTCAAAAATTACAACAGCAAAACAACAGAGAGTAAATAATCAGGCACATCAAATCACCTCTCAAAGAAAGATTCCCCCAGGCACTTCCAAGCCATTAAATGCTAATCAAGGTGGTCAGTTGAAACATTCACACCTAGCTCCAGCAGACAAAAGTCCTTTGTCCCACCCTGGTCTTTCCACAGATATATAAACCCATTTTCCTACTTCCAACAGACCTCACTACCTCTGAGGATGCTTGCCATAGATGCAGGCGAAACGTCAGGAGAAAATGCCTCTAGAACATGGACATATAGCCCAGAAAACCTACAACAACCCAATCTTCCCCAAATGGAGCTGGAGTGGTGTAGGACTTGGAGGGTTGGACTGTGGCACCTTCTACACTGCCATATAATTCAGATTATTAAAGCAGATAATGCACATATCTGCTTTGAATTGGATTGTATGAGTCTACATTGCCATATAATCCAGTTCAAAGCAGATAATCTGAATTTTATATGGCACTCTAGACGGAGGGCCCTTCCACACAGCCATATAACCCAGAATATCAAGGCAGAAAATCCACAATATCTGCTTTGAACTGGGTTATCTGAGTCCACACTCAGATAATGTGGGATTTTCTGCCTTGATATTCTGGGATATAGGGCTGTGTGGAAGGGCCCTGGGATCTTCACTTCTCTTCCACAGATCTGAATAAAATCCCATATTATCTGCTTTGAACTGGATTATATGGCAGTGTGGAGTCGGGGCCCTTCCACGTAGCCATATAACCAAGAATATCAAGGTAGATAATCCACAATATCTGCTTTGAACTGGGTTACCTGAGTCCACATTGCTTTATATTCTAGTTCAAAGCAGAAAATGTGTTTTATACTTTGTTAGTTGCTTTGAAATCCCCAATAGGGAGAAAAGCAGGGTATAAATTAATAAACAGCAACAATAATAATAATAAATGCCAAAGAATGCTGGGGGCTCGCCAAACTATAACTCCCATTATTCTATAGCAGCAAAACAACAATAATAATAACAAATGCAGTTTGACCCCACTTTCGCTGCTATAGAATAATGGAAGTTGTTCTTTGGCAGAGAAGGCTAAATGGCTTCGTCAAACTATAACTTCCCTGATTCCATAACATAGAGCCATGGCAGATGAACTGGATTCAGAAGCTGGATTATATGGCAGTGTAGATCCAGCCTGGGTAGTCAGAGTCTATGGCCCCTTCCACACAGCTGAATAAAATCCCACATTTATGCTTTGAACTGGAATATATGGCTGTGTGGACTCAAATAACCTAGTTCAAAACAGACATTGTAGGATTTTCTGCCTTAATATTCTGGGTTTTGTGGCTGTGTGGAAGGGCCCTTAGACTCCGTCTAGAGTGCCATATAAAATTCAGATTATCTGCTTTGAACTGGATTATATGGCAATGTAGACTCATACAATCCAATTCAAAGCAGATATGTGCATTATCTGCTTTAATAATCTGAATTATATGGCAGTGTAGAAGGTGCCACAGTCCAACCCTCCAAGTCCTACACCACTCCAGCTCCATTTGGGGAAGAGATACCTCCCAATTTTTCTCTTCTTCACACAAACGTATATACCATGTTGTACAATTTCTCTTTCACACACACCTGGTATGCTCTATAGTTCTTTTTTATCACATTGGATAGGTTGCCAGATTGCTTCCCATCCTCCCAGCTGCCCACATTTCAACTATGTGGATTTATGGCCGTTCTTTTTGCAATTGTGTCTCCTTTCGGCAGAGACCCAAAGAGGGCAGCAGTTGTCCAAACTTTTTTTGCGGAGACCCTTGTCCTTTCAACCAAGTAGTGAAACAGAAGAGCTCAGCTCTCATTACACTGGAATGCTGAAACAGCAAAGTTTTAACAAAGAGTTTTCAATTCGATTTTGCCAACCAAGAGAGCACAGTGAAACACAAGGAAGGATTACCATATCTTCAAAACAAAGCCTCAAACTCGAAAGAAAAAAGTTTTTAAAGGAATCAAGCCAAAGGCCTTCTTCTTATGGTTTTCTTCACGTGACACACAATCATAACACTGCTTTAACTCCAATGGCGGCATCCTAAAGAATGAGCTCAAGACTGGCATACATGGCTCTCCTCCTCACTTGATCCAAGATTGTTGTGAGGACGCTTCCAGACAGGCCCTATATCCCAGGATCCGATCCCAGATTTTCTGCTTTAAATTGGTTTATATGAGTCTGCACTGCCAGATAATCTGGGATAAACAGAAAACCTGGGATCAGATCCTGGGATATAGGGCCTGTCTGGATTATATGGCAGTGTGGTGTTGGACTGTGGCACCTTCTACACTGCCATATAATTCAGATTATTAAAGCAGATAATGCACATTATCTGCTTTGAATTGGATTGTATGAGTTTACATTGCCATACAATCCAGTTCAAAGCAGATAATCTGGATTTTATATGGCACTCTAGACGGAGTCTAAGGGCCCTTCCACAGAGCCATATAACCCAGAATATCAAGGCAGAAAATCCTACAAGGGCCCTGAGATGCCTTTATCCAAGACAACAACAACAACAACAACAACAACAACAACAACAACAACTTTATTTGTACCCCGCTACTATCTCCCCAAGGGACTCGGTGTGGCTTACATGAGGCCAAGCCCACAGCACATACAATAAACAAAAGCAATAACAATAATCAATGCAAGATACCTTTCTTGACCTGTTGCTATTGGCAGTCCTATTGGTATGTACATTGGTCGAGTGCATCTACACTGTAGAAATAATGCAGTTTGACATAAATTTACTTGACATGGTTCAATGCTATGGAATAATGAGAACTGTAGTGACTTCTGGTACCTCACCATGCTACAACTTTCAGGATTTCCTAGCACTGAGCCATGGCAGTTAAGGTGGTATCAAATTATATCAACCCCTCTTCAATACTGTCATATAATCCAGATTATCAAAGTAAATAATCTTCATTGTCTGCTTTGAACTGGATTATATGAGTCTACACTGCCATATAATCCAGTTCAAAGCAGATCATCTGGATTTTATATGGCAGTGTAGAAGGGGCCTAAATCTATCACACTGAACCAATGGTCCAACTGAGGGCCCTTCCAGACAGGCCTTATATCCCAGTATCTGATCCCAGGTTTTCTGGGTTGTTGTAGGTTTTTCCGGGCCATAAGGCCATGTTCTAGAGGCATTTTCTCCTGACATTTCGCCTGCATCTATGGCAAGCATCCTCAGAGGTAGTGAGGTCTGTTGGAAGTAGGAAAATGGGTTTATATATCTATGGAATGACCAGGGTGGGACAAAGGACTCTTGTCTGCTGGAGCTAGGTGTGAATGTTTCAACTCACTACCTTGATTAGCATTTGATGGCCTGGCAGTGCCTGGGGGAATCTTTTGTTGAGAGGTGATTTGATCTGCCTGATTGTTTACTCTCTGTAGTTTTGCTGTTGTAATTTTTGAGTTTTTTAATACTCAAAATAGATGCAGGCAAAACATCAGGAGAAAATGCCTCTAGCACATGGCCATATAGCCCAGAAAAACCTACAACATGATTCTGGCCATGAAATCCTTACAATACATTGAACATTCCCAGGTTTTCTGTTTATCACAGATTATCTGGTAGCACGGACTCATATAATCAGTTTAAAGCAGAAAACCTGGGATCTGATCCTGGGATACAGGGCCTGCCTGGAAGGGCCCTGAGAAAATTAGCTTTGTCCATTTTCTCCATTACTTCTACAGTGTAAACACACCATTGTTGCCTCCATGTGCATTATCTTATCTTCATTTACATTGAATGGTATTTGCCAGAGTAATGCCCATTCCCTCAGTTTGGAAAGATCCTTTTGGAGCTCTTTACAATCTTGTTTTATATCAAATCTGGCTAGAAATTATCAGGAGACTACCTCTACTTTTGAAGTGGCACAAGATAAGACCAGTCTTACAAAATAATCTATTTGCATGAACTAACTTCCAAGCAAGCAAGCATATATCAAT